GAAGCCCACAGCTCAAGTAATAAAAAATACGAAGAGCTCCCCAACTGAACGTGAGAATCCTCAGGATCGTGCCTCTAAGGACTTTTTGCGATGCCATCACTAATCAGCGGAACAAAAAACGTAAGAATGAAAGTGCACGATTTGTGTAAATTTGGCTTAGAATGTAGCTGGTTTTCGGTTACAGGATCGACATATTTCTGATGAACTGGCAAAACAAACCCAACCGAAATCCAAACAATAACTGGGTCTCCGGGAGAAGGCCAGAAATGTGCTGTTCCCACGCCAAGGATTCGCTTAGGCCCTGGGGATAATTGTCTTGGAAGGAGGCATGGGCCCGAGATTCCCACGCTCCGCACAAGATCTCGGATCTCAGGTCCTGCAGGACCTACCTGCTGCCACTGACTAACGTGTGAAATTTCGGATCCTTGCACCTGCCTGCGCTCCGAGCGACGTGATTGGCTGAGATGCTGTAGGATCGCTCCTGTCTCCCAAGAAGGTATAAATAGCGCCTCGCATCTTAGAGACAGCATCACACAGCATCCGAACGTCGAAGCGAGAACATCTCAGCACGCATTCTACGCATCTACCACTCACCAAAAATATCTGAACGAAATTCGTCTAATGTCGACCATCAGCAAGCAGAAGAACACCAACACCATGTACAAGTCGAAAGTGTCGCCCTCTCGTCGCCTGAAGAATCTGCTGAAACCCCTTCTCGGCCAATTCTTCAACGCGAAGAAGGAGCAGCCCAAGAGGAGCTCCTACATCGCCTCCGAGGAGAAGGAGGCCGAGTTCGAGTGGCTCAGCAACGACATGGACAACATGGCCAACGAGCATCTGGAGCATCGCCTCATCGAGGAGATCCGCCAGTGCGCCAAGGAGGATGCCGTCATCGTTTACAATGAGAACGGATCTGGGGAGCTGCACACCATCGACCAGGAGGACTACTACGTGCCCGTGCACTTTGCCCGCACCAATGCCGGCACCTTCTTCTGGACCTCGGTGCAACCCAAGGCCAGCGAGCCCTACGCCATCGAATGGAACTTCCTGGACCGTTGGGCTCAGGCCTGAGCGAAGTAATCGCCTGGAGCTGCAACTTCAACCTTGAACGAAAAATGGGGTTCTTCAACTTTCGATTGGGATAACTTCAAATGGACTGGAGCTCGGTTCTCCAGCGGGATGGGTACTCCAGAGTTTGGGCACTTCGACTTTGGGATCATCGATCTTGGGCAGCGCTTTGAGGAATTTCTGACTCGCTGGAAATTCACTGGAAAAGGCGATTGGGCATCCACATAATATTGTGGCGGGAGATATTCCAGCAATTATTCCTGTTTGCAGTGCAAAATGGTATTCAATTGCTTGGATTTTCAAAACACATTTGTAAACAAAAACTAAAATAAACATTGAAAACATATTTCATTTTCTTATCATTTGCGATGCATGGCTTTCTCAACATGTGGGCCTGCTTTGGGTAAGGATGCGAAAGGTCCTGTCTGCAGATCCTTCAAAGATGTGGGACATTCCCACGGCACCAAACATGTGTTGGGTTTTTGTTTACTGTTGCCCAAAGATCTGGCCGAGATTTCGGAAAACGTGTGGAAAGCGGTGAGGAAAGCTACCATCAGCTCAACATATGAGACATATGAGTTCAGATAAGAAGACAATGGTCTCAGTTTAGGGACTTTGAACCAACTTCAGATACGGGAACATTAAAATAAACTGTATAGTTCAGATAGCAGTAACACATGAAAGTCAAATTTGTTTGTTTTTATAAATTTTCAAGAGATCCCAGAATGAATCGAATAGATATCGAAATATCAAACAGCAAAGCGTAAGTGTAGGAAAGCCTTTTTAATTTTAAAAATTCGTTCAAGAACTTACACTCCAGTTAAACATGCATTTCTGAACATAATCATCAGGTTATGCCGCACATATTTAAAAAGTATTTATTGAAAGACAGAATTCAGAAATAATTCAAGCATTTTTTCCATATTGCTTAAAATATCATAGCCTTGTGCCTTGTGTTTTATAGTTTCTAAATGGCAACGGCAAACCCAAATAAATTTAATTTATTCGAACGCATATTTTTAAGTCAGGAAAGAGAGCAAAACTTTTTCTTACCTTTGACCAAATCACTTACAAGATTTTTTAACTTTACCAATCCGATAAAAATATAAAAAATAGTTTGTGTTTGAGCAGCCTTGACGATCAAAATACATCCTAGATTTAAAAGACCATTAAAAAAATGGCTATTTAAGAACACAATATGGATTTTTGTTAGTCTTCCCATGAAGAGCTGGTTTATTTCAACAAAGGAAAAACTAATTTTCTTACGAGCTAGATTGCACTTAACGGTAGTGGAAGACATATGTGATGCCGTTGCGTTTCTTATCAATAACAATATGTGAGGATTCAAACATAACAGTGATTTAAGAACTAGATCTCAACATTTAAGCGGTTAACAATCACAGTTAACGTTCCAGGAACGTGAAACCAACAACAAATGAAGTAATAACAATATTGGTTAACAACAAATTAGCTAATATATTGCACTTGACATTGTGGGGGTGTTGAACTTGGGGAAAACGCACTCGAAACGAAGTCTTCAGTTCGAGTTCCTGTGTCCCGCCAAGTCACCATTGCACTTTCCTCCAGCCCGGTCCTGTTTGGCCCTCCATCTCCATGATCGCCATGTCCATGTCCATGTCCATGCCGTTCCCGTTCCCGTTCTCCTTCTCCCACTTGAGTGGCGGGTGGACTGGTGGGCGTTGGGGAATGGGGAGCCAAGCGGTCTTTAAAGCTTCGGTACCATCCAAAGTTACGTAGGTCTACGTAGTGGGTGCGCTTGGAGCGCGTTTAAAGCTGCAGCAGCCTCCTCGATCGCCACCCCGCTCCCAATTCTTCGGGAGAGAGTGGGTGGTGTTGCACGAGATGAGGCGATGTGATCGTTAACGGTTTACATTGAGCACTGACTCGCCGATCGCCGGATCGCCGGATTTTATACAACTCGCGGACGGACGACGTTGACGCCGCTGCCGCGTAAATAGAGATAAACAAAGAGCACTTACACAAACCCACACCAACACACTCTTACCCACACACTCGCGCACACACACACACAGCCGCTTGCCTGGCTCTCTTGGGTTGCGTCTGTGTGTTTGCCTTTCGTTATCAACCATTTATTGTGGGCCCTTTTCGGTTATCTACAGTCGACGGGCTACTACCCATTTTTATGTTTATCACTTTTTACCCTCCCCTCGCTCGATCTTCTGTTTACTACAGGTCATTCGATTCGGATGCACTCGGAGAAATGGTTTTCATCCTCCATACCTTGCTTGAGTTAGGAAAGATGTGTTACTTCTGGAAAAGGAACATTTTACAGACATAAAAATTGGGAAACAGTGTGTAATGAGGATGGTTTAAAAAAAAAAAACAAAAAGTAGGTAAAACCTGTTGATGAAAAAGACAACGAAAGTGTCCTTGAACTGCAGTAAATAGGAAAAAAATAAATAAATATATATGCGTCGTTAGAGAATTTATATTGTAAAGTCAAGTAAATTACACTTTATACTAACCAGAAATAAATAACACATTTTCACTAAGTCTTGAAAGTAAATTTCTTGAAAAGGAATTTTAAGCTTCTAGGATAATTGCGCCTCTCGTCGCCAAAAAGTAGGCAACATTTCTTTTAAACTCGTCTATTAATCAGGTTTCATAGTATAATTTAATTAATTATCTTACGCAACATTTTTAAAACCCGCTCAATTGTCAGTACTAGATTAAAAAATACATAATTCATAACTCTTGATTAACTTTTGATATCATTACATTGGGTATTATTTCCTACAGTTTTAAAGATTCTGTTTGGGGATAATTAATATTGATGTCTGTTTCTAGAACATTGTCTTCGTGAACGTTATCCACATTTGAGAAACTCAGTTATTTCTCAGACTGTACTGCACGCTGGAAACTCTTATGACTTGCCGTTTCCCTTCTGCTCGTGGTGTGATTTGTTTTCGTTTAATCTTCTTCCACACGCACGTTCGGCAGCATCTCTAGGGTCCGGTCCGCCGCACCTCTCACTCCAAAGTCACTCCAAGAACCCGACCGTCCCTTCTTCGACTCGTTTTTAACGATCTCGCAGACCCCAAAAACAAGAAGGGTCCCCCGCCAGTGGAGCTTATGTGCATTCCGAACGTACATGTGGATACAGATCCAGATACATACGGTGCATATAGAAGTTGTACGCCTGTAGATACACAGGAACCCTCACGCCCCTCTGCAAATGCAGTTTAATGACCGTTCATGACCAAGTCAATCAGATGCGGGACTATTTACGCATGGCAAAATCAGGGAAAACTGTTCTACGACGGGTATCGCGGACACCCTGGAATGGGGGACCCTTCAAAAAACAAATTTGATTAAATATAGAGGGAGCAGAACAGGGTAGTTAAGTTACTATTATAATATATATCGCAATACAGGGATAAAAATGTATGCTGGTTAAATTGATATTTCTGTGTATCCAAAAGTGTGCTTAAGGTCCAAGTTTGAAGATTGCATAGATCCTAGAAATGCATTTTCTTTGACTAGGTATATCTACATACTGAAAGAGTATCATACCTACCCCATTTTGAATAAATAAATCCCCGGTAATGTTTACTCTGGTCTTATCAATAAAACCCGCTACAATTACCAGACAGGTAGGAGGATTGCTAGAATTGCTTCCCCTAATCATTTCCTTTCTGCCGTGACTCCTTTCGAGAACCCTCCTTATAAAATCATGGGAACGTACGTTATGCGTGCGCTCCTCACGCGCAGGACACGTACGGAAGAAATCGTGGGAATCGAAACCGAAATGCACCTAAACAAAAATAAATGCAGTAGACCCTAGAAGAGGGTAACAATAGACAGGTCCCTCCGCAGCCGGGCCATTTCGAATTGAATTAGAAAAGGTTGCCCAGGTGGAGTTGGGGGTAGATCTTAATGGGTCCCGCAGAATGAAAGCAATCAGATGTAAATCAAGCAGCCAAGTTAGCAGTCAAGTCATGGTAAATAGGCGATCCCTCGGAAAAGGTGGAGAACAGTGAAAAGGAATCTTCCCCGGGGCATTTACGAAATATAACCGACAACAATAACTATTTCTCAAATGTATACGAAGACTTTCTGGATTGCAAGTGGCCACAGAAATAAAATAATAATTTAACAGAAAACTAAATAAAATTAAAAGTGCTCCTAAAGAACGTTAGCTGTTCTTTATTCAACAATTTATTCAGAAGCTAAATTAGTTTGCTGAACTGGTTTTTGTTTCTCTTTGGAAGTAACATATCTTTCGCATGAACTAGTGCACTTCCTAACTAATGTTTTTCTTGTAAATTGAAAGAGAAAACGTATAGCAACCACACAACTTGAGTTTGCACCCAAAGAGCCTAACTAACTGAATGAAACTAATAATGGTGTCTATTGCAGATTCGCGTAGTCTTAATGCTACTGTATCTGGTTCCTGAGGCGACCTTAAAGAGATCGGATATTGGCCAGGCCAAGTCCACAAAAACAAGCGACAACAAAGCCTTTCAAATTTTTCGCGGCGACACCGACAAGTACGAGTTGTGTATAAAGCTAAAAAGAGTTTGCCACAAACTCTGGGACCAAGCTCCCGACTACACGGATGCAGAGGAGAAGACTCCTGATGGTAAAGAGGTGGACGACGATGATAAGGCCGCGTACAAGAAAGGGGATTGCATACCGACCGGGCTTTCGAAGGACGGGGAAAAATTGTTTTGGAAAACTGCCGCCAAATGGCAGAAGGAAATCGACGATAAGTTCCTGATCCAAAATCTTTTCGTGGTGTTAATGACGACAGAGGATGGACGAAATACGAAGTTAGCCATTGGAAAATGGCAGGGTTGGTGCAATAGGACCGATAATTCTAAAGAAATGACCGTAACGCCCGAATATTCAATTGAAGATGTCAGCGGTGTAACCAGAAGTCCAAAACCATTCAAAAATTGCGATGTTAATGGTAAATTTGGCAAGTGGATTTCCAACGAGATTAACGGCACACGACAGTTAGACAAAGATATCAACGTAATTTCGGACTATTTGTTAAAATTTGATAAGTATGCCAAGAGCAAGTGCTGCCCCTATGACTCAATCAGAGATCGATTAGAAATGATAAACGATGGGATCGACTTTCTGCAAGAACTGCTGGGCATAGAAACTTATTCACAACCAAATTATACTGATGTGAACGCCGATATTTCAAATCTGATGGGCAGATTGGAGAACTTTACTGACCAAATCTATAAAAACGGTGGTGCCAAGTACTCGACAGGAAAATGTTGCCCCAACATTTTCGGTGAACTGGAGATTTTTAAAAATGATTTTGTAGGCAATCTCAAATATGAAAGCATACAGCCACCGAAGCTTGACCACCAGCCATTTATTGACAAAGAAAATAGCTTGCGAGATATGATTTTGAGTCAAATAAGGGACATTGGTCTACTAGAAACTTCTCTTATGAACCAAACTAAGAAAACTCCTTGTTGTGAAGGCGAAAGAGCACAAATTGGGGATATAGAACAATTAATCAAAGACATAAAGCCCGAAAAGTCCCTAGGAGAAATTTTAAAACAAATTGAACCACTAAATGAAAACCTAGCTCAAGCCAATAAAACAATTTCAAGTGCAGAAAGTCTGCTTGTGTTGGAAAAGGAAAATCTCCAGGAAATAAATAAATACGGAGAAGAATGCCATCCAAAGGACAAATCCTTTAAGAATATCGAATCGAAGGTGAACCATTTGGAATATAAAATCAATAACTTGAGTTTGCTGGAATACGTCGATTGGCCGAAGCTTAGAAAAGCTGCGGACGCTGTTGATAAAATGGTCAAAGACAGTCCATTAATTTTCGCTAATATAACAATTATATCCATGAAAAATAATATGAAGCATATGAAAACTCGGACAACCAAAGTTTTGTTGATCAAGCCAGACGACACAACTTCAGTACGATTTTGTACAAATGAGTCTATTAAACTAATTGACAGTTTGGAAAAAATTGGTAAAGATAAAAACTCTACTATCGCTTATCATAATCAGCAAGAAAATATTGTCAAAGAGCATTTTAAAGAACTTTTAGATAATGAAAAAGAACTGCAATATTATAGCCCAACGAGCTTAATCTTAACCAAAGGTTACATGAGTAATAACCCTATACCATATGTTCGAAACACGAATTCTTTTCAGCTAGAGATTAATCAATTGGAAAGAGATATAGACAACTTAACCGAAAACGGCATCGAAAAATTGGAGAGACAACTGCAGTATACCCGATTAAGATACGAAATGGATCAACAAAAAGTTGATAAGAAAATTGAAGAACAGCTAAGAAATATACATCTTTTTAGAGAGGAGATGAAAAGAGAGCAAAATCGAATTGACGAACGCCTAGCCAAATTAGACGATTATATGTTGGAAACATCAGAGCAATATGACGATAAAATAAGTAAGCTTGAGGCTGAAGCCTTGGAATTTCCAAAACAAATTGCGAGTTTTGAAAAAACACTTTTGGAACAAATTGCTTCGTTACAACAGCAATTAAAAGAATTGGAAAAGGAGTCGGAGAATACTGAACATAGGGCAAATATATGCGACGCTGAATGTGATTTTGGTGACCTGAATTCTATAGATGAACTGATGAAAAGGGTTCAGGTTGTCAAAAATAAACTAAATAATTGAAATCCAAAGACAGTCAAGGGACTTTAAAGCCGATATACCCAGAAAAATGTGAATATTTATATATTATTAATAAAATATCTCAAATAATTGACAGAGTCAAAAAAATAAATAGTTTGATTCCATCTTGAAACAACGGTTACGTTTTAATATTAAAATACACGTGTTATCATGTCTGGCTCAAATTTAAAAAGCCCGCTAAAATGTTGACATTTTGCAGCACTTCATTATTGTTAAGAAATAATCGATGACGTCGATAGTCGTAACAAGCAATCGATGTTTACAAACATTGCGAAAGTTGCCAGACCATTCATTTTCCAGCACGTGTGAAGCACTCATTTAACTATTATTTTTAAGAAGTTAAGCTTGGTTGCTGGACAATTTAGAGAATAGGAATGCGTGACAACACACCGCCACACCGGCCAGATTTTGATGACGGCGAGGACGAGCTTCAGGAGATAATTGAGCTGGAGGAGCAGCCCCTGGACGAAGATGACGACGACTTAGAGGAGGTGACGCTGGAGCAGCTGGAGGCCCGGTTTGCAATGGCCGGTGGCGATGATGACGAAGAGGAGGATGAGGAGGAGCTCCGAGACCGTGAGAGAATAGCCACAATCACGGATGAAGCTGAGGTCACTTTCAAGAAGCACACAGCTCCTGTTTTCGCCTGCAGTCTGCATCCCACTTACAATTGGGCAGTGACGGGCAGCGAGGATGATTTAGCCTTCGTTTGGGAAACCTCCACCGGCGATGTCCTCTACGAGATCACGGAGCACAAGGACACCGTCACGGAAACGCACTTTAGTCACGATGGCGTCTATCTGGCCACCGGTGATCTTGCCGGCGAGCTGTTTGCCTTCAAGGTTAGCGAGAAGCGCGACGAGCGTCCGATCCTGGCTAAGATCTGGCAGTACTCCATGAGCGACATGTCCTGGCTCTTCTGGCATCGAGCTGCCCACATCCTGCTCGCGGGCAGCGACAGCGGAGAGGTCTTCGTTTTCCGCATACCCAGTGGCGACTGCAAAATCCTGCCTGGACAAAATTCGCGTTGCGAATCCGGGGAGCTCAGTGGGGATGGCAAGAAGCTGTTCACCGCCTACATGAACGGGTCCGTGAAGCTCTGGGATCTCAAGAGCTGTCAGGTGCTCATGGACATCAGCGAATCGCATCCAATGGGATTCGGAGAGATCACGCACGCGGTGGTGGCCTGCGAAAAGGACTCCCCCTTCTACATCTGCGCTGAGGCGTCGGGTGAGTGCTCCTATTGTCCTAGTGCAAAACCACTAACTAAAGCAATCGATTTACCTCTTCTCCGCCAGGTAAAATGCTGTTCTGCACAAACAACGGTCCGGTGAGCACTATCCAGTCGGAACACGGAATCGAGTGCCTGGCCTTTGCTCCCCCCTCGGCGGATCTAAAGCTCTTTGCCTGTGGCTCGCTGGACGGCAGGATATCCATCTGGGACTACACCAAATCAGCTTTGCGCACCATATGCGAAAATCCAGTTCCAAACGATGGTGTCATAAGGTGAGCACCAATTGTCCACGTCTACCAGAATTTTTTCAAACTTTGATTTAACTTTTGTTACTGTTCAGTTTACTAATTGCTTCAATTATTGCAGAATCAAGTGGCTGAGCGACCACACGATACTTGCGGCCACTTCGCAGGGAAATCTGAACGCATTTGACGCACGCACAGGATCGCTGAAATTCACGCTGACGGGACACTACTACCACATCTACGAGTTTGTCTACAAGCCGCAGGAAAATCTGCTACTGACGGTATCCGAGGACAACACGGCCAAGATATTCAAGGTGCCGGCGCTGGGCGATTAGTTAGGTTTTAAAGATTTGTACTGTGCTATATGTAAATAGTAAATACATATAAAAATTATGAACTTTGCTTATCTCAGTGGCCAGGAGCAATGAACCCATGGGGCGGTCCTGCACCCCTTGCCCTATATATACGACAAAATGGGAAGGCATAAGGCCGACTAAAGATAGAACATACAAAGAAGGCTACAGCTTGGGGTAACAAAATAGGACTGCAAAAGATGCTGTTTGTGCATTGTGTCAACAATTTTATTATATTTGAGGTATCTAAGCCTTTAATGAAATATGATTTTAAACTGTCAGTTTTGGTAATGAAACTAATTAATATCCAGAACTATGGTTTTGACCGGATGAGTACATGAGAACTGAGTGCATTGTGAATGCAACTGCAACAAATTCTCTTGAATCTCAAGTTCTCTTAGAGAGAATGGAACATGCGTATTGCATGGGGAGCATTTCCAAAGAGACAAACACTTGTTTATGTTTTTGTTTGTCGCTTGTCGTTCACCTCCGACATCCACACACACAAAGGCGAACAATTGGCTAAAAAATGAAAACGAATTTTCAGATTTACACATTTATTTACCTTTCTGTTGTATTATTTTATTAAAGCTTTTTCGGAGGAGCGACCCGCGTATGGAATTCTCGACTCAGTCTGCATCGGGTTATCAGTGCGAACGGGTAACGGTTCTCCCCTTATCGGGTAAAAAATAATGCTGAAACGGGTTAAAGCGTAGTCTCACATGGATTTCATTTGAGTGGAAATATTTTGGGCAAATATATTATTAGAATTACATCAAATGTAATTAAGCAAATGCACAAAGTTCCGCAGCTCTAAAAATAAAACTTACAATGTTCGTTCGCAAGTTTGAGTACATTTATATTACCCTGTGAATGGCAATCATGAAAAAGCATGACTCGTGGCATTATATGATGAAGGCTCACCGAAATATTAACGAAAATTGCATATGGAAGTGATCCATCACATTTTTCTTTTTAAAAATATACATTGTGTGTGCGCGGGCGAGTTAAAAAAAATAACAAGAAAGAAAGGGTTAATTCCGAGTTCCAAAGTTGGAATACCCTACAATAACTTGGACAGGACTTACAAAAATGCGTTCAAAATGAACATATCCGGTTTAAAAAATATTTACTAGTAAACTCATCAAATTAATAACAGTATTTTTAATTATTAAATAAAAGTAAATGCTAATGAAAAAGTAACTTCCGTCAGAATTAACTTAAAAGTCTGATGAAATAAAATAAAATGATTAAGTAATGTAGAATATGTATAATCCATATCCTTCATAATGTAACGAACATGGGCTCATAGCTAGAATACCCTGTAAAATTGTATAAAAGCTGATATCCCGCAGCTACGGGCGACAATAAAAGTCACACGAAATCACAGTTAATCAACCACAAACGGGGGCCCGAACTGATCCACCGAATCCACCGAATCCACCGAGTCCACTGTAATTGTGGCTGTGGCGACACCATCACACCGGCGCAAAAAAAAAGTAACCAGCGCCCAGTGTGCCTCTTTTACAATTAGATTACCAGAGGAGCCGTGAGCTCTACGGACCCAAAATGATCCGATTCCGCGGGCTGAGCCACTAAAATGTGTGGAGGCGCTACACTTGTTTTGTTTATTGCTTGTAGTATTTTTTATGGCGGTCGGTCGCGAGGGAGGCAAAGATGGGCAGCTAATCCATATAGCCAGTCGGGCACTAAAGGTTCACGATTCACACAATTGAATTATCACAGTTTGAAATGTCATATGCACGCGCCTGGATATGATTCCCTCATCCCCGGATCCCCAGTTCCCCTACGGAACCGCACTTCGTGATAATCCGCTCAAGTGTTTAACAAAAGTCGCTCGGTTCGCATTAATGAGTATTTTAGCGCATAAGGGGCCGCCGAGTCATCCGTTGGAGTAGTTGTCACCAAATGGGCAACAAAAGAAGCCCCATTATTGAATGGGGCCTCCATTGGGCAATCACTGACTTAGCCGTAACTCTCTTCAGTTGCGGTTAGCTCATAAATCCCCATACATACGGCTGTAAAATTAATTGATATTTGATTCACTGATATGCCGTGGCACTTAAAGAAAAGGTATTAGATTAACTGGGAGCGATGTTGGGGCTTCTTATCACCGACTTCCTCGTTTTCGAAGTTTGTATTTTACCGGAAATCGGCACGCATACAGTAGTCATTGCCTATGGGATATAACACGGAAATTAGATAATACGAAGTATTTTATAAGCCCAAAATATACGTTTTCAAAAGGGCTTTTAAAACATAAAATGCTCATTTTATTTTTAAGATATCTAAAGCACAGCGTAACTGGGTAACTAGTGGAGCTTCAAAGATCTATTAAGGACTATTTACAAGCCAATAAAAATTTTGATTTTAGGTTGAAAGTGCAGCTAAAGTTTTAACGTGTTTTGACTTCCTTGCATACAAACAAATATTTGAAACCATCATGAATGAACAAATATTTGCATTATTTCAAATCAAAAATATTCGCAGTATTTTGAAGTAGTTTATGGGCCTCTTTGTTACAAATTAACCACTTATTCCGTGCTAATACAATGCGACGTTCAGCCTTGTCACAATTATTGTGCACACAAATAGCTTGTGGCAAGTTTAACTTGCAGTACAAGTATGTACATATATGTCCCACGAAGCCGTTAAATCAGCTACAATTAAAGGCCTAAACAAATCATTGCGCTAATGTCGTTTGGCACATGGCAGACTCAGTATTTCGGAAAAGTGACACAAAGTGGCTGAAAGATTCCGACAAAAAGCACATTTTGGTCCAACCTAAGGGTCAATGACTAAGGCGAAAGATAAGTCAACTTAAGAGAGTTTCTCTTAGGCGAACGCACGTGCTTCATTTTTGGCACACAACCCAAACTTCTCAAACTTCTTGGCTAGCGAAATGTTTGAGGCGGTTGCATCATGCGTTTGTGGAAAGTGTGTGCTCCTCTTGCAGGTAACAGGTAAGATGTTTATGGCCCAAAAGAGCGCGAGAGAGCAGCTGCTTCTGCTTCTGCTTCTGCCTCTGCTGTTCCGCCTTACCTATGTGTAGTAAATGGAACAATAAAACCAGGCAAATGCAAAGCCCAAGTTGAGCGAGCGACAGTCGTTCGCCTCATAAAGAGGGGTAAGTTCGTATGCCAAACTTAGTTTGAACTCGGAGCGCGTCGCGAGCAGTGCGTTCCGTTCCGATCCGATCCAAAACGATCCGATTCGATATACCGTGGGATCTTCCGGTTTTTCGGCCTCCTAAGTACTGCCCATCGCAGCCGGATTCGATGAACAGAGATGAACACGATAGAATAATAGAACCACCTTATCGGCTTTGAATATATAGAGTCCGTGACAAATGCGTGTGCTTGTGTACTGTAGCGCACATGGGAATAGGTGAAGTGTCGAACAAAACAGAACTGAAATCGGAAAACAACAGAGACACATGAAAAGCATGTGGACTCAAGCGAACTGAACTGTATTCGAAGCTCCACGCTGGCACACAGAGTGTGCTGATACAGAAGGAAAAGCGAGAAAAGTACAAGGAAACCCCGATAAAAGCAATGGACTTGTGTACATAACGACGGCCAGCCGCAGTGAATCTCAAAAGTTACCCCATAACAGCACAAATTCAAAAGGTGTTCTAAGAACCAGCCTTAAAAAACGCGGCACATCTACGGCGAAAAATGGCGCGAGTTCAGGCCAGCGACTCGTTGATTCCCCGCCAGGTGTTCGAGGTGCCTCCGGCGGAACCCAATAACTCCACGGCGGACAGCGGCAGCCAGGGTTCCGGGGTGAAGCTAAAGAAGCAGATCGGTCTGCTCGATGGAGTGGCCATCATCGTCGGTGTGATTGTCGGATCCGGCATCTTCGTGAGTCCCAAGGGAGTGCTCAGGTTCTCCGGCTCCATAGGGCAATCCCTCATCGTTTGGGTCCTCAGCGGAGTGCTCAGCATGGTGGGCGCCCTATGCTACGCGGAATTGGGTGAGTAATGCTCCATGTTAGCTTTTTTTGGGTTTTCCGATAATGAGCCCACGCCCATTCAAACCATGTTCTGCGGAGCTGGCAGTTATTGCTTCCCGCTGATGACAGCAATCCGTGGGTCAACATATGGCATACACATACGTGGGGGAGTGGGGCAGTTGTTTACATAGGTGTAAGACAAGCACCTGTAGCAAGCACGGCAGAAAACGAAGCGAATGCTGAAGTCAGTAAGTCGGCTAATGAGGTTAAGGCCAGAGATGATCGAGATAGCCAGCACTAGTACAGCACCAAGAATTTTGATAGAATTGATACTGTTTCTGTTCGAAACTAAGCAGTAAAAATAAAAGTTCAAGCTACATGTGGTACTCAGAGTTCTATAAATAAGCAGCAAACATTTTTTGTACAGTAGTCCATAGAAGGAACAGGAAAAATCAGCTTATTTCCAATTAAAATTGGCTCAGAGCCAAGAGACAGAGGCGGCAAGTCACTACGACCTTTGAGTCGAATCGAGAATCTTTTGAGATTAACTACTCCAACCAATTACCATGGAGACAGATTTAAGGCATGGAATTAGCTCGGGCCCATTGACAATGCCTCCTCAAGTGGCACACAAACGAAATCAGTTCCAGTTGCCCAGCAAAATGATGAATGACGAATTAGAATTGATAGCGAGTGTGCCAGACAAAACATTCAATTATCAACTAATTAGCACTCGAGACTCTTGATAAAACTACAGGATCCTTGATATACCTATATTGTTCTGTTTCATCAAAGAAAAAGCGCCTGGGCTAAGTCCAAATTTTCAACCCCTTTATTGAAATGTGAACGAACATTTTCAAGATCTGAAATCTGATAAGAACTCGAACTGTACTCTCTTTACAACCTTGATCCGCAACAAGTCTTAAGAGAAGCAGAAATAAGTCTTATCGCTTGTTCTCTTCCTTTACGTCATCTTCGCTAAGGCTTTGTAATCATTATTAAAACACGTTTTTTAACAATAACCCAGGCAGACACTCATCACCATACATTTTCGGCAGACACAAATTAGCATAATTTTTGGAGTTTGCCTTGCGAAGCATCAAGTTCGATATGTGTGATATGAGCAGATCAAATAATCAAAATATTCACAGATGTTACTTGAGCTTTAACTTTGCTTAACTACTAAACAAAGTTTAAGCGATCCTAATTTACTGAATAGCTAGGATTAGCAGTTAACGCGCGAAAATAGCTGTCTGCCCAAAATAACATTAGCACCACTTACTACGAAGGTGGTAATAAACGGAAGAAATAAAGTCATTGGCAGCTTCAATAGTTATCATTGCTATTGCTTAAGCAACCCTCGTTAGATGGGCAAATACCTCCAAGCATTAGCAGAACTGTGCCATGCTTATCGGGCTGTCAATGTTTGCTCTCTATAAGGCTAATCACTTTTTAAACATAATTCTCCTGGAATGTTCCCTGTAAGCAACGCAGTAATAGGCAAATTTTCATCTTTAACTAATATTCTCATTTTTCAGGCACGATGATACCGAAATCGGGAGGAGATTACGCCTACATAGGCACCGCATTCGGCCCCCTGCCTGCGTTCCTCTATCTGTGGGTGGCCCTGCTGATCCTGGTGCCCACGGGCAACGCGATCACGGCACTGACTTTCGCCCAATATCTGCTGAAACCTTTCTGGCCATCCTGCGAAGCGCCCATCGAAGCGGTTCAGCTGCTGGCGGCTGCCATGATATGTAAGATCTGCTGATAGCTAATCGGTGGAGAGGGTATAGGGTGGACTATATTGACTAATGGCTTGATCTTCCACCCTAGGTGTGCTGACGCTTATCAATTGCTATAATGTGAAGTGGGTTACGCGCGTGACGGACATCTTTACGGGCACCAAGGTGGTTGCCCTCCTGGTGATCGTCGGCGCCGGAGTCTGGTGGTTGTTGAATGGAAACACGGAGCACTGGGATAATCCCTTCTCAGGGGGCTTTCAGGATCCAGGATACATAGCACTGGCCTTCTATAGCGGCCTCTTCTCGTACTCCGGCTGGAACTACTTGAACTTCGTAACGGAGGAGCTCAAGGATCCTTACCAAAACCTCCCCAAGGCCATTTGCATCTCAATGCCGGTGGTCACGATCATCTACATGATTACGAACATTGCCTACTTTTCGGTCCTCTCGCCCGACGAGATTCTATCGTCAGATGCAGTGGCGGTCACCTTCGGAGACAAGATGCTGGGATATCTGTCCTGGATAATGCCCTTCGCAGTGGCCTGCTCCACTTTCGGGTCATTGAATGGAGCGATCTTCGCCTCCTCGCGGCTTTTCTTCGTCGGTGCGAGGAATGGTCACCTGCCGGCTGCCATTTCGCTGATTAACGTCAATTGCCTTACTCCTGTGCCTTCGCTGATATTCCTGGTAAGTTGGAGGCTAACTTGTAATGAGGAATTCAATATATACCAAGTATTTCTAATGTGATCAGGAGCCTAATGGTCATACTATTAGCAGTGGTCTTTGCAAGAAGATTCCAATAGCCTGTACCTAATTATATTTATCTAATTATCGTGTTTTTGATAATTCCCAGGGCGCGCTCACCTTGCTGCTGCTGTTCATCAAGGACATCTATGTACTGATCAACTACGTCAGCTACGTGGAGGCGTTATTCACGCTGATCTCGGTATCCGGACTGCTGTGGATGCGCTACAAGCAACCCAAGACGGAGCGACCCATCAAAGTCAGTCTGGCGCTGCCCATCATCTACCTGATCGTCTGCCTGTTCCTGGTGATCTCCTCCTGCACGCAGACGCCATATGTGGTGGGAATCGGGACGATCATTATACTTTCTGGCATTCCGGTCTACTATCTGACCATCCACAATCCGGTCAAGTGGCTGGCGGACACTTCGCAGGCGATCAACCTGTGGTGCTCCAAGTTCTTCATCTGTATGCCCAACCAGGAGAAGTTCGACTAGGTTTGCAGGACTCACTTTCGACGACTTAGGGAAGAGAGTGCCTTTTGTGGATGTATCGATCAACGCTACTATAGAAGGAAATATCTTGTAGTTAGGATAAGTCTCAGTTTACCCATAAGATAGGTTAGCAATGCGAAATTTTAGAAACCTACGCACAACATTACAAAAGTGTTATTGTAAATAACTCAAATGCATTCTGGTGGGGAAGTTCCTGCTCCAATTAATAGTATGCATATTTATTGTATATTTCAATCCCAAAAATGAGTTCCTCGTCAAAAGCAGAAATATGCCTGTTATACAAAATGCGAACCAATTTTTACACACTATACAAGTAATTAGTAGCTTAATCAGTAAGTAATAATTATTATTGAAGCAACTTTTTGCGAAATGTAAAAATCGAATTTGTTTTGTATAAGAAAGTTAATAATAAACAATTTAAACTTAGCTGCGTACTTAATCTTATTACTTTTCGTTTCTATCAGACAAATGCGAAGATATCTATATTTTAGCAATTCAAATCCATGACTACTTATATTCTTTATTTAAGGGAGGATTATGCTATCCATCTCATCATCAGTGTATTTAATTCCTTACTTACTTCCTTTTTCATAACATAGGTATTTTCTAGTTCCTATTCCTGGTCCAGCGAGTTCTGGAAATCACAATTCAATAAAAAGCTCCTCAATAACGCCTTTTGGGTATGCAATCTTATTTGTGGTACTCACAATCTACAAGATAGTTTTCAGATCGAGATCTTTCCGTGCTTGTTAAAGTCATAAGTCCAAATTCTTAAGATTTTAAACTAACTTTAATATTTGTATTCTAAAAGCAGAGAATAGTACACTTTCTGGTGTGAGTTCAACCGATGTACAGGTCAAGCGATTTTAGCCATTTTTGGCGCTCAAATTCGAGCGAGGGAAAGCTTCGCCGAAGCTCAATCCGAATGGCAGTTAAGTTTGTAGCGAGTGCGCAGAGCGATGAGATGCCCGACGGCGAGAGGGAGAAAGGAGAACGCGCCGGCGCTCGCCGAACCGAAAGTCGTATAAAACGTTGCGTGGGCGAAACTGTCACTTCAAAAGACCGTCGAACGGGATCGGTAGTTGGCCGCAGTGTTTCGGATCGCACGCGTCTGTGAAAAACCGAGAAAATCGCGGTGCAGCTCCGTGAAATGACGAGTGGGGACCGCCAGTAAATAAACGGGCTAAAATAAAACGCGAATAAAACTATCCAACACCTGAGTGTTCAGTCCAGTGCGATGGCCCAAAAGCAGGTGCTAGTCCTAACCCTAATATGCCTGGGTTCGCTGTTTCTCAAAACAGTGCCGGCTTCCACGGAATACAACAAATACGTGGCGCAGATATTTCAAAAATACGGCAATGGCGGGACAATCAACTTTGAGGTAATAACCAATAAACCATCGAACTAGCCTTGTAAACACACACAGAGAGTAATTTGAGCACAGGTAAACAAAGTGAGAGGCGGACAAGGCTTTTGGGCTAATGTTATGGCAAAAAATTAGTGAGTTTGTGTCTTCTTTTTTTCCACTATACATTTGGGCCAGCAACAAAAACAATGAGCGGACGTATGTACACACAAATTAGAGTTAATCAAATATTTGGTCATTGTGAAAGTGAAACAATTGGGTTCTGGCCAACTTGACATTTGGGCAAACAAAACACTCTCAACAGCCAATATCGCAGCGCTCTGAAAAGGTTGTAATCTTTATATGCAGGCAGCAATTTTATAACGCAGGGGAAGGCACTTTGTCCGACTTGGAACGTATGATAAAAAACGTACACTTTATTGCTGGCATTATCATAAATTTAATCAAAATCCAGACTAACTACAGCAGCGCACAGCGAGATGATATACATATGGTACGCGACTTGAGCATCAACACGACTGTCGTGCCACCAACACCCACACCCACACCCACCCCCTGGCACCACATCCTTCTTTATCCAAGTCGGAGATTAGGGGATATGCCCGATAAGATTGCTCCTCCTAATGGGCGGCACTAGATGCCCGGCGCAGCTGACGAAACCCAAGACACCCCGCGAACCCAACCGCCACTTTCGCAACGCGATCGCTATGCTATGGACATGGGGACTCCAAACTTAGTCGGATACCCAGCAATCCGAGCCAATTGACATTACTCATGCGTTTGGGCTACGCAATACGCTGTCTCCATTTGAATGGCAAGCGCTGCTAAAATGTTTTTACTTTTTACGCACTCGGCATACTAACATTAAGGGTTTGATGTCCGATGTCCGATGCCCAGCCAACCGTCTCATATTCTATTATCATTCTAATATTCCAAATTTGATTACACAGCACACTTGGCACACAAACAAATCTTCGCTGAATGAAAGTAAAATCAGCCATTTGGGGGCTGCATGAGCTACATAATAAATAGTTTTTTGTGCCAGCGCGTGTGTCTAATGTTTGTTCATATGCAAATTCCGCCATCCTGATCTTGGGAATCTGGGCAATTCTTTGAGCCACTCATCACTCGAATGACACACGCCCCAGTCCGCGCCGACAGGTGGCTGTGGGGGCAATTAGATGGGGCTTCTGCTCCCCGGGGAATCTCCACCCACTTTGGCGACAGCAAAAATGCGACAGAATGGTGGAATAACAATAAGCAAATGAATTCAGATGTAAATATAATTGCCTGGTGGCACGTTGACAAGTAAATCAAGTAATTATCTGTGATGGATGAAAACAAAGTATTTACTTTGACAAATTAGCAGAAAGTTGCAAGTGCAAATTGTGGGCGGGAAATTTTGTGGGGAGCTACTGTGAAAAATGTGCAGCAGGTTAAGGTTTGTTTTTAATAAAGATTTCAGGACGGTCGCTGTAAGCAAAACAGCTGGCAGTTGTTTTGTTGCGATTTCTCCAGCTTTTTCGAGATTAATTGTTGTTCTAAATGGGTTTTAAAACTTCAAGGCTGCAAATACTGTTGAAGTATGCATAGCTTAAGAAAATCATGACTTTCCAAAAAAAAATTCAGACATCAAACTCTCTAAGAAATTTTATCTAATTCTATTTATTTTTTGCAAACTGCTTTTAATACTATTATGAAATACTTTTTTATCTTCCAAAGAAAAAGCTTTGCCTGCAATAATTTTATTTAATGCTGTCCATTTTTAGCATTAGATATTTGCTTATAAGTGCGCCTTTCATAAACTTGTGTGTATGAAAACGTTAGTCTTGAGTATTATTGTTTTGTATCTTTAAAAACTCTCAAATATGCCAAAATTTAGATTTTATAAGGATATGTTTATTAGATCCGTCAATAGAAGTTTTAAGTGTTCATGTTATGAATGTCAATTTTAAAATCCAATTAATACTTTTCAGGGTCTTGAGCATTTGATGTTCAGCCTGAACCTGGGTCAAATCCAATTCGAGCCCTCGCACACGATCGATCAGCATCGACCTCAGGGATACTCCAACCAGACAACGCGTTGCATCAATGGCACGTATTACTTGGAGCCGCGAGCTAACGCCACGGATGAGGAGGCTTTGGAGGTGCAAATCTCTCCGCCTGGCAATCGCTCAAAGTCAGAGTGGAACGCCCAGGTTCCGGAATTCCTTGAAATGCATGACCCCAAGCACCGGCACCCGAGGGAGAGTTCAGGTGAGTGGCGTTGTTTAATATCTAGTAAGATACGCATGTGTCTTATCATAACTGACTGGAACTGAGTTTGCCGACCATCAGCAAAGAGTGATAATACCCAAGCTTCGCCAGGACAAACAACGCTCACTTGACGGGCAATTAACAACTGCAAATACGATAAAACACCAACTACCTTCGGCATAATACTATACAAATTGAGTCCGGCAGAATGTCGCATTCGCATCAGAATGGAAGTATAAATAGTTGAAGCCGGCCCTCGACTTGACTTGACTCGACTCGACTCGACTCTTTCCATCAATTGGCCGATTTCCAAGTGCAAGGCGACCGGCGACTGCGGTCTATCATCAATTCAATTATGCCATCCCATCCTCCCATCTCATTTGGTTGATAGGAAGTTCCGTCTGTGATCGTGGCCTTGCCGCATAAATTATCATTACCATGCACGTATGGCTAGTACCAGATGCCTCAGATGCGTGTGCTTTTCCTTTTGGGCCGTAAATGTAGCCGTAAATCAGCAGGTAGGGAAGATCATTGACAACAGGCGACGAAAACAGGGCGATAACACGAGGAACATTCGCATTATGGATGCGGAAATCCAAAACAAAACAACAATTGAAACAGTAAAGATACAGATACAAAACGAGAAACAAACAGGCCTCAATCGGTTCGTTTGTTATTTGTTTTTCTTCGCTGAGCCTTACAGTTAATTGAAGTGCACACAATCATTACAACGTTGTCCCATATAAAGTTAACACTAAACAGCCGACTGGATTAATGGCAAGTTCGCACAAGCGAGTTGGATAACATTCAACTGATGAGAAGGCAAAGTGACGGGGTCGAAGAAATGTAATTGCTATTTCCATAGAATAGTAGCAACAAAGCTTGAGAAGTACAAATGGGAAAACGAAAATTCCCCATACCTAACATTATAAACAAAGTGCTTAAAGGGTTGAAATTGACAAACAGGTGCTGCCCAGAATGGGAGCCAATTGCACATGTAACAATCATTAGTATATGCCTCTCTTGACGCTTACTGAAGTACTTTTTAACAAGGTTCTTAAGATATCATTACTTTCCCTAATTTTCAGAACCTGTTGCATCTTGCTTATCACCCAAGTCGTTGCTTTCTCTCCTCGTTAACCACAACGACCTCCACAAAAACAATGCCTACCGCACACTGCTCATTAAGAATGATGTTAGTTCAACGGATGCCATTCATAATTCTGAAGAGGAATACAACAAATTCATCAACTCGGTGCGGATCACTCCGCAAGCTTTTATGAAACTCTGCCCAGCTCTATTAGCCCAAATCGATAATGGAGTGTGCAAGCAACCAGCTGTTCGATCAGAAAGCCTTAACGATAAGAATCAGAAGATATGGTACGGTAGGTATCTATAATTATACTTTGGTTTTAAGATAACTTACTTATATCCATATAGCTTGGATCTATGCCAGCATCACCATGCTTCTACTCTCCGTCTGCGGTCTGCTGGGAATTCTTCTGGTTCCCTTGATGAAGTCAGCTGCCTATCAAGAAATCCTCAAGTTCCTGGTTTCCATCGCTGTGGGCACTTTAGCTGGCGATGCCCTCATGCACTTGCTCCCACATGCTCTTTTCAAGGAGGAACAGCACGAGGAGGAAGTCACTGGTATTAATCCTTTGGAATCAGATCACAAACATAGCAATGAGGCGGCTCTGCTTTGTGGTTGTACTTTCCTGGCGGCACTATTCATGTATATGCTGGAGAACCTGATTCCGCTGCTGAAAGGGGGTAAGCCAGGCCATGGACATAGCCATGGACATGGTCACAGCCACGGCCACAGTCATGAACATATGGAGAAGCCCGCTGCCCAGAATGCCATTGATCTGCCAACTCCTCGAGAACTAAATGTGATGCTGCAGGAAGCCACGCTGGATGAGAAGACTCCTGATCGACCGCTCACCCCAGTAGCCTTCATGGTAATCATCGGAGATGGCTTGCACAATCTGACCGACGGTCTGGCCATAGGTGCAGCCTTTGCAAGTGATCCGGTCACTGGTTTCGCTACTGCCTTCGCCGTTCTCTGCCATGAGTTGCCACACGAACTAGGCGACTTCGCTCTGCTGCTCCAAACAGGTGTCTCCATTCGAAGAGCCGTCTATTTGAACATTGTTAGTTCAGTTCTCAGCTTTGTGGGCATGTCCGTGGGTCTGTTTATCGCGGGAATTGGAGATGGGATGACCCAATGGATTTATGCAGCCACCGCTGGTTCCTTCCTGTACATTGCCTTTGCCGATCTGGTGCCCACCATGAGTGTGGCCCACAATCCGGAGATGGCCAAAGACCCAAAGGGTATAATAATACAAATATTTGGTATCCTTCTGGGTGGACTGATAATGTTGACTATTGCCCTTAATGAGCACGATTTAGAGGGTCTGTTCAAGAGCTTTTAAAGAATATCTCTGAATCTCAAACCAATATGTTGATTTTGTTTTCTTATTCTCGATGTATATATTGTATATGTACTTGTATGTATATTTTTATGAGAAATCTCTGATTCTCTTGCTTCTTTAAGCATGCCTTATATGTTAGAGATGAAATTGTTACCAAATGTTAGTCAGCTTTACATGTATTATTTAAACAGAATCTTATAGAATCTTAAAAATTATAAAAACCCTATAATCAATGCAATAAATAAGACCAAAAGTGTTCCGCAATTTAAATTCTGTTTTATGGATGCTAAATTAATTTGTCTTTAATATTACGAGCTATCCTGAATTTCATTCCAAAATAATTTAGCTAGTAAATAAAACTTTTAAAAACTTTTTAAAGACGGATTTTCGTTGATGTAACAAATTAGGACGCTCTTTAATGATTTACTTTTTAACACTTATAGTATAGTTTTAAATATTAAAGACCGTTTTAAGATAATTGCAGTTGTTGTTGTTCCTCAAATGGTTCATTGGGCAGGCGCGCGGGGCTCTAAAATGTGTTCTTAATCTGTGACACAGTTCTGTACCAAATAACGCAGAGGTATACTCACAGGTTTCTTGGACCGCTCCTCCAATACACCAAATGCAACATGATTCAGCTGGAAGCCAGACGGCAGTGCAACGCCCTGAATGCGATAGAAAGCACCAGAGGGACCTTCCTCCGCAACTTTGTGGGCAGCCGAGATGGCGCATTTGCCTAAAAAGCTGGTAGAGGCCACCATTGGACCGCGTGAGATGTCGATGTGATCACCCAGGCGATATAAGGTGACCCTTCCATTGGTCTGCTGCGCAATGCTGGGCAACTGTTCGCTCTTATACTTGGAATCCTTGAACATCTCCTGGGCTAGATCCTGTTGGACGTCCAAACGCTCGATGCGCAGATCCTGAGCAGCCAGTTTTACCATCTCTGCCGAAATGGCGCGCATCTCTTCCTTTGCTGGCTCCCAGTTCTGGGTTTGCAGCACAATGTCGTGTACAAAGCTACCTGATTTGACTGTAAAATTAAATAGAAAAGATATTTGAGAATGCATTGGATAATAGGATAGCACTAATAGGATATCACTGAAAGTTGTATTATTAAGATAGATATTTATGAAATTATGAAATTCGCATTCAATTAATGGGGGAAACAGTTCAGAAGGTTCGACAAAATCCCTTAAATCTTAGAAAATAATTCGACTTACTGTTTGGTCCGGGAAAGCTGTGGAGTTGAAGATTGGCCTCAGGCTTAAATGCGCGGTTCAAGGCGGCTCCCAACATAAAGCTGCAAGTGCGCCAGAACGCTCTAAAATTAAACAATAAAAAGTTTAATACATGTGACTCAATATATGAAAGTACGAACTTAACACTCACTTGTTGACCACGTGTGGCTCGGAGACATGGAAGTTGAGCAGCTGCAGAGTGCAGGATTCCTGCAAGGGTCTGTGCATATCCCAGGGCACACTGCCGTCGATCAAGGCCAGTGCCGATCGCTTACAGTGCCCCTCACTGAGATGCTGGGCGCAATTAAAGGGCGTGGAGATGTTGCTGTTCATCACCAGAGTGACATCCTCGGGAAGTCCCAGGTACCGCACCTCGATCTTATCGATTCGTCCAACGGCATCCCGTTGACGGCGCTGTTCCTGGTTAAACAGCTCATTTCGCTGGGCTATCGATGCTGAACTGCCACTGAAATTGGCTGTAAACACAATTAAAAAGTCAAAATAAGTAATCCATATTTCATATTGTATAGATCTGGAAGATGTAATGTAAATAACTAGATCCGTATTCAATTCTAGCTATTTTTCCGCCAAGATACCAAAGAGCATGCCATCACTGACTGAGGACTCCACTAAACGTGAATGACTGCCGGCATTATGTAAACAACTTTCTTGATCTTTGGTCAATAAAAGGGCTCGTAATTAGTGTTACTTACCCTTAGTTCTGTATTGCTGTAGCTGCCGCAGGGCGGACCAGCTTGTTTTATATAAATTTGTGGCCGCAGACATTGTAAATTACCAAAATACTTTCCAGGGATGCAATTCACAAAAGTGATGATACTTTGCCAAGGCGGTCAGAAGGTAATCAGTATATCGATATCTTTTAAACGTGACTTTTCGCTTGCAAAATATAAGGGGCTTTCCTAAGCACTTGTTGCTTGTAAAAGAAAAAGAATATTTCACAGTTAATAGTTGTATGTAAAATGTAAATAAACAAAGACGGAACGTTGATGATTCATTATAATTATTTACACAGCTTACAGTAAAACCGAAATTGATAGATTATATTTTTCCTTAGTACTATCGCTCTAGTCGGGACCGTGTATATATCGATATATTATCGATGTTACTTCCAGCTCTATCACGTCTTTAACAATTTTGTTTGTCATCGCGCTCGGCACAAATAAAACTTTAATTTTCCTTGTTAATATAGTTGAAATAAAAAGAATATATAATGGATTTGGATAACGCACGCGATCTGCCCCGCGCTGGGTTCAATTTCGACAACTGCAAGCGGTTAGAATCATCCGGGCTGTCCAACAATCCCCCATCGGCTTTTATTAATTGGTGTTTTATTTGCTTTCAGCAATGCGACTCTTTTAAAAGGAGGCTTCAAGCCACCGACCACCACCAAGACGGGAACCACAATCGTTGGCATTATCTACAAGGATGGTGTTATCCTGGGCGCCGATACACGAGCCACAGAGGGACCCATTGTCTCGGACAAGAACTGCGCCAAGATCCATTACTTGGCCAAAAATATATAGTAAGTCCACAGGCGGCATGTATAAGCCACACCTTCAAGTGCATAAGGGATATCATAATACTAGAAAAGGAGGGATTACGTTATTTGTACCATATTATAACAGTTGGGCCATTTCTTAGTATCCGCATAGTCTACTGTATTGTGCATAGTATATTGCTATTGACTATTGACTATTGCATAGTCACATCTATGTGTATCCATCCTATCCATCCTAAAAGGTTGAAAAGCTACGAAGACGAAGTCATACACAAATAAGTTTCTACATAACCATAATTATGTCAATCGGAATATAGAAATATAACAGTGCATAATAAGAAAGATACCTTAAGCTAAAGTTAATAATCCTTTTCTTTGGTTCAGTCTGTTTCCTTATTTACAATTGAGTATAATGTAAGACATTATTATTTTGATTTTAGAGGGTTAGATCGATTTGGCTCGATTTGTTTCAGAAACTAAAAAAATGTGCAGTTGCATTTTTAACACGCAAAGTATCTCCCAATACTTAACGAAAATCTTTACCCTTCAGCTGCTGTGGAGCTGGAACCGCTGCGGACACTGAGATGACGACGGATCTGATCTCCTCCCAGCTGGAGCTGCATCGCTTGCAGACGGAGCGCGAGGTGCGCGTTGTGGCCGCCAATGTGATGCTGAAGCAGATGCTCTTCCGCTACCAGGGTCACATCAGTGCCGCTCTGGTGCTTGGTGGAGTGGATAAGACCGGACCTCACATCTATTCCATTCATCCACATGGAAGTTCGGACAAACTGCCGTATGCTACCATGGGATCGGGTTCCCTAGCTGCCATGACCGTGTTCGAAAGTCGCTGGAGACCTGACCTGTCCGAGGAGGAGGGTAAGAAATTGGTTCGCGATGCCATCGCCTCCGGCGTCTTCAACGATCTGGGCTCGGGATCCAACGTCGATCTGTGTGTGATCCGCAAGGGCAGTGTTGAGTATCTGCGCAACTATGAGCTGGCCAATAAGAAGGGCGAGCGCCAGTTGGACTACCGCTTCAAGACCGGAACCTCAGCCGTGCTGCACACCAACATTAAGGACCTACTCGTCACCGAACGCGTTCAGGTGGTGCCCATGGAGACTGCTTAAAGCGATTACCCTTTCTACCCTTTCGTACATTTATTATAATAGAGCTTCGGCAGGATTTACATGGAGTGGTTTAATAAAGGAAGCCATGCTTCATCTCAAGTTGCTGTTTTTCGAGGGATTTTATTAGACTAGCGATACTCCTAGGCGGACAATGCTTTGGTCATAAACGAACGCTAGCCAGGGACCAAAAATTAATATATTACAATGTTTTCAATGCCTAAGAATATAACCTCATGGTTAGGGAACATGATCGGGGTTTGGTCCATTAATCTCTTTGTACTTTTACGATCCAGATTTGAAATAATTATTTTTAATTTCTTAAATGTTACCACGAAGCAGTATAAAAATTATAACATACATTTAAATTAGTTAAAACAAAGAGTATTTATGACTAACGGTCCCTGGCATAAAGTAAATAATAACTATAAAAGAACATTAAAGCTTAAGAATTAATTTAGCTAATATCACATGGTACAGAGGGTCAATTCCTTACAGTTGAAGGCACTTTCCATCTCCTTAGAATAACGGATTAATTGGCACCAAGAATTCACTTGATTGAGTCAGATGATACACACTCCTTCTAGGACTAACTTAAGCTATGATTAATCTAGAAACTAACAGAAGTAAGGGGAGTATCCAAATGGCGTGGGAACCATAAGAAGTTGCTCCATTTGGCGTGGGTTCTAGTAGATGCGATACTGTCAAACAGGATAGAGCTAGATTGGTTGTGATCCTGGGAGATTGGGCATTGATTAGGGAGGATATCTTTTCCGCCTCACGGGCGCAGGCCTCCAATTGAAGGCGCGTGGGTCTCTTGATACTGCTGGCCGGCACTATGGCCACAAAGATGCCTACTTCCATGGTGAGGAATCCAGTCAATTGGCACTCGCTAACCTGCACCAGTCCATCCAGCTGCTGGAGCACCCCATGCAGTGTCAAAAGAGTGCTGCTCTGTGCCCTCAGTCCGTACATGGCGCGATCGAATTGCTTTCTCGAGTAGATTATCCTGAAGGCTCCTCCAGCACACAATGGACAACATGCTCCTGGGGGAACTATCAAACGACAGTGCTTGGATACGGGAGCGGGACACTGGACAGTCCTACAGCGTCTTCCCATATCGCTGACCAAAAGGCCCACCTCTCGACATCGACCCACATAATCCACCAGCACGTATTCCGCTCTGGCCGCATAACTACTCTTGTAGGTCACTCCGTTGATGCCACAGACTGGTGACGGTGAGGTGTTAAAGCGACTCGATTGGCAGGCGGACCAATAGGCCACTTGGCCCTGAGGATTGGATTTCAGCAGGGCACAGGCATTGGGATGGGTCCGTCCCTGGGCATCGCATACCTCACCCTGATGAAAGGTTGAACAGTTGGATGCGGTGGCGTTGACTGCAATGCAGAAATCATAATAATAATTGTAATAAATTAAGAAATATTTCTAGAGTAACTTACCACACACGTATTGCAGACAAGGTCGCTGCATGCTGGCCAGGCACACCTTCCTGCTGTCCAAGCACTGAGTTCCGAAAGGACAACTGTTTGGAGGTGCTGCCTGGCAGGCATTCCGAGCATTGCAGGCCCCGTAGACGTAATCCCCCTCAGGCAAATGGCACTTGGCCACACAGGCCGAGGGATAGGTGTTCCCATTGGAGCCGCAAACGGGAACATAGTGAGCTGGACAATTGCACGGTAGACTCGTGTAACTGGAATCTGCAAATCCTGGCAGGCGACACTGCTGTTTGGTGCAAGTGATCTCACCGGCGAAGCAACTGCATAGGTTGCACTCCAGGTAGAATGAGGATCCATGCCGGTAGCTCCTGGCACCTGGAAGGGTGCAGTGGGCATGCACATAGCTCGGCAGAGGTTGACATTGCTCCAGGCGGCCTTGCAATCCACATGAGCAGACAATATGCTCGGCCAGCGGAAACTGACCCACTTCCAGTTTCCTATGGAGATTACTCTTTCCAAGTCGCACATATGAGCCGAAAGGTACAAACAGCTTGGAATCCTGTCCCAAATTGCAGCCCGGTATGCAGGAGTAGCCACGATTGCCTCCTCGCTGCAGAATACACACTTCGCTGGCATTGCAGGGTTTCTTGGCGCAGGGTGAAGTGATACCTTGGAACTCCTCTGGACTGGCATCTCCTGCTTTCAGATAGCTCCCCAGGGATATACAAGGCAGTGGAGCATCATCATCATCCTTTTCTTTTAAACGAGAACATATGTCCTTTGGCCGCTGGTGTTGCAATGTCCAGTCCAGGCACTCATCCAAGAGCTCGTGGCAATCCTCACTGCAAATGCCGTTGAAGAGACCGACTCGCGTGCAGGGCTTCAGTTGGAGGGCACAGACCAAAGCCCTCCACTTATCCGGAGCACATCGACTGGTGTTCTTGATGAAGAGCTCCTGTCCCAGAACCCTGACGGTTCCCCGCTGCTGCAGGAGCTGCAAGTCCTCGCGAGCAGCTGCATCATGTTCTGGCGTGCAGCTGCGAAAGAGTTCCGTGGGTCGATTGTTGAAGTTGGAGCAGAAGCTAAGGCCCTGGCATCCGAGCTCACATGGTGCATCTACACTTTCTATGCATCGTCGCAGTTCCCTCTCTCCAGGCTGGTCCATACACTCGTTCTCAAAACTGGAGCGTGCATCCCACCAATTGCTGGTGAAGATTTGGTTGCACAATCGTCGGCACTTATGGCTGCTGGCCTGTTCGCAGCATTGCCTTTTAGCCGCATCCATTCCCAGGTGGTTGGGCTCCCCTAGAGATCCGCCTTGGCCCGATATCCGTCCTTGTGCTAAGGATCCCCCGGCTCTTCCAGCTCCTCCCGGAACATACAGCTTACCCGTCACTGTTAGAAAACACTGCCAGAAGGGAAGTTGTGGCAGTGGCGACCCACATCCTGCCGCTTCCAAGCGGGAGAAGATCACCTCACTTCGTTCCATAAGAGTGGCGTTTTGATGCAGAAGATTCCGGCAGGTGTGGCGACAATGCTCCTTGCTGCTGTACTCGCAGCAGGGGATGTCTAAGGAATGGTTTTGGAACATTAAGGTTTTGGTTCTTTTGAATCTTTTTATCTTAAGTTTTCTCACATTGTTCGGCATTTGCCAGTGGGGTCATGTCCGTGTGGTTGTTTACGCACTGAATGACATCCGCGTTGCGATCTCCGCAGGCTCCATTGATGTCCACGTGGTCATGGTTGTCGTTGGCGGGCTCGAAAACCGCTCGACAGGCCTAAGCATATGTAATTATTAGTATCGTGTAAAATATTTATACATTTTAATTTTTTAAATCTATAGTAAGTCCTCTAGAAGGAACGGTATAAACGTATTTACAAAGGTGTTTTAGTAATTATATTTCTGTTGTATGGGCTCCGTTCAGATCTCACTGTGTAATGGATCCCTTACCTCCAGACACTCGGAAGTTCGGGCCTGTCCGCAGCACTGATCTGCTGCCTCCTGCCGCTCCAGACAGTCGTAAAGCGTTTGCTCATCGCTCCGCCGGCAACTTTGCACAGGTGAGCGACTCGAAGTGGCGCACATGTTGCGGCAATGGGGCAGCACTCCGAATTGGCAGCAGCGTCTGCCCGACCAGTCGGCTCCACGGGTGACCGCTGCAACAAAAAGGAAAAACCAAAATACATACGAGTATAGTGGACTTAATGGATTTTATGATCTAATTTTACACACTCACCGTCAAAAGTCTGGTTAACGCAGGTCCAAAACTCCACCTGGTGCAGTTGACAGTATCGGTGCAGTTCATCGCGACTGTCGCCGCCAGTGCCAGTGGCATGCTCCACCAGAGATAACTGGAAAATATGCATAAATTGCAATAGACAACAAGTTATTAATCGCAATCAAACTTAATCATCGGCCGTGCGCTTAACCCGCAACTCCTGACCCGCAACCTGTTGGACCTCAAGTGTAGTCTCAAAGTTTCGACACTCGGCAAAATTGTAAGTGCATTCTGCTCAGCTTTAAACATTTATTAAATTTTACTAAACTTACTTAAATGAATTTAAAGACTTCGCTGAATTGAATGAATTTAAAGACTTTGTTGTTCGTTTCTAGTCCGAAGAACGTGGGGTACATTGCTTAAAATTTTTAAAAACCTCACCCAAGTGTTTTTAATTGGTCTTTGTTTGAGTGCACGGGGTTGCAATCAGGGTCGGTATTAAGTTTTGGATACAGGACTCAAGACATGCAGGTTGCACTTTATCCTGCTCTTTTCGTTGTAGTTTTTGGCGTATTATGTTACATTTTTGAATGCTGCTCTCATCCCGACACCATCATAAATAACATTTGCCCCGCACTCGCTCTTCTATCGATAAGGAACGGGCCGAGGGAACTTCAATACCAAATTTTCAGGCTCACTCCACACGGCGACTGGCGTATCTGCCACAGTAATCTGAGTAAAGCGATGTCTATTCAAGATACTTCGTGTGCTTGTCCTCGGAACTTGTCTGGATCTTGAGCCTGGTGGCATTCCCATAAATACAAATTAACATAAACTGAGGTGGAGATGCTGTGGCATTAACGGGTAGTGCATTTTGTGGAATAAAAAATTGGTTTAAGATTTTGAAATGGGCTTTTTGCTTAATCTAAATGCGGCTTAAGCTGTTATTGTCATAAGTATATTCCAAGGCCATTACATTACACTTTTAAAGTAGTGCTCTCCTATTTGTAAGCCTACATTAAACTAATTTCAGGCATGACAACCGATAATTAAAATAGAAGCCTTCTTTAATTGCTTTCCCTATGTTCAAGAGTTGTTGATAGGACACTTAAAAGTGTGTCCGCCCCTCTATTTAATCACATGCTTATTTCCGAATTGCAGGGTACCCTCTATCGACTACGCCCCTGTTCGGTACGCACTTCTTGCATGTGTGTCCCTGGCCTGTTTCCCCCTCTTTGAAGCCCGCGCCTCGGGCATGTCTGTTGCAGTTTTGTTAATGAAGTGTCCGTGGCCATGTCACGCACTCCCACACACTCGGATAATGGCTACACTACATGGCAGCCCACTCTGCGAGGACAACCTGCCCACCTGGGCACCGCCGAATCCCATCAGATACAAAGGCCCACAGGATTGCCTGTTGCAATTATCAGACCCCGAGCATTTTGTCAATAATAAAATGCGCGTAAATTTTCACTTATCTCGCGAGGATCGGCCGTCTCGGATTCGACGCTTCACACGTTCAGGGGACGGGGAATAGAACAATTTGTGAGTGGGGAGTCGGATATCAAGGGGTCTCCAATTTCCCGACACCCACTTGTAAGATCTAACTCTCTAATCTTTCGCACACGGGAGAGAGCAGGCAAAGCAATTGAAAAGTGGATTTGGGTAACGCCCATGGGAAGGCAACCGGTTGGCTTGACGTTATCCTGTTTGTCAGTTTCAATTTGGCCAAAAGATTTAATGCCTTCATTTGCATTTCTAAATGAAAAGATTGGCAAAGCCACACAGCCCACTTTCGGCTGGGAAAACTAATTGGTTTTGGGTGGAAAATGGTTATGATTACAAAGTTAAATGATGTCAGTGATTTGATTGCCGGCATTGCCTCCAACTAAATCGGGGCTAGGAGCAGACTACCGACAACTGCACACACGACACTCACTCACTCGCAAAGACAACAAATTGATTTTCAGCCGGCTCGGGTTTTATGAATGACTTTGAGTGGCAAACTGGTTCGTCTGGCTCTCAGTTTGCACAGCAAAAAATGCATTTCATTCAAGCTCATTTAAGACTATTCAAATCTGCTTGGATTATCGATTCATTTCGTTTTTCCCTATGCAAATTTAAACAAATCAAGTGGTATTGCAACTTTTGAAGAGGTCAGGAATGATGTTCCAACTTCATGGGTTTTATTTGCTGTGTAGCTGACTGGGCTTTGGTCTGGGTTCGGTCTTGAGGTGCAATTACCTGTTTGCCAGTTTATGCTAATTAACAATGCAATTTGTGCGGATTTTTCAATCCTTTTTGGCACAAGGCTCTATAATCTGAAATCGACTGCCAGCGGATGTGGATATGGTATTCAAAGTTCTACCGAAATCGAACGGCCATTAAAACCTGTCATAATCGTTTTCAATGAATTTTCTGCGTGTGACAGTCTGACGGATCAACGTTTATTGAATTCTAAATGTATATTGCTTGGCATGCACGGCCCGTAGTCCATTCACAATGAGGGAAAGAGGATTCATGGGCCCATAAAAATACCAGGAAATGCATTGTGGCTTGATCAGTAGTTTTTCCACCTTATCGGCTTGTTCAATCTGTATCTGATCTGCTGTCCGAGGTGTTCGTACTTATGGCTACTTGCCTCTGGCTAACGTTTAATATTTATGACAGACACATCATTTCCCTTCGAGTTGCTTTTCACTGTGCCCAGGCGCCTGCCACATCGCGTTGGGGTAAAATAGTTATGTTTGAGTACTAGGCTCCAAAAATGTATGCAAATGCCGAAAAAAATGTATTTTAAGAACTACAATCTTTAAGATATACAATCTTTAAGATATACAATCATTTATATTCGTGTCATTCTTATTCATTGATGAATTCGTATGAACCCCTTAGAATAAATTAGATAATATATCGAATAAAATGGAATTTAAATTAAGTAAAAAGGAATATAAGTTTTTAATATTGGAATTATAATTTTTTGGAATATATGTTTGTCTTAGAAATCCACAATCTCAAAAGAGATTCGAGTTAAACTTTCGCCAAACTGTTGTCAAAGTGCTGCCCTTGTCTGTGCCACCCGTTGCATCCACTCAAGCATCCATACGCATTTTTGATATATGATCAATCCTACCCACTAAGACCCCCTTTCCGCCTTTCCGCCTTTCCGCCTCTCCCCCGATCTGCGATACTTACATTTTCGCATGCTGTGCGACATGAGCCGAAGACCTGATTGCAACATGTGAAGATATCTGCAAGAGAAGCAAACAAACAGAAAATAAGCATGTTGCGAGAGGAAAACAAGAAGTTAAGTTGGCAAAGTGCAGCATATCAGGGTTTAATGGCTTGGCTCACGCATTTTGACACCACTCAGTAAATTTAAATTTAAATAAATGCCACGGAAGGCAGCGAGATATCCGCCAGTGGCTCGCCAAAGGAGCGGGTTGATTCCTGATTCCCGATTCCCGATCGTGGTCATGGCCACGATCATGATCGCCACATGTTGTGCTGAATCTGTGGCAACATACACTTCCTCTGGCACAAATCACACAGGGACTTTCACGGGGTTGGGGTCTCGTTGGTCGCACTAATTAGGTGGCTGGAATGGTATCCTGCTTATCTACGAGTACCCAGGGTGACTGATTACTTATTAAGCACTTAAGGCTTGTTTTCCTTTTCTTTTTTTTTTTCTTGCTCGCTCCCCTTTTTTTCTGGCTGCGGTTCATTTGGAGGATTGCTCATTGGGTGTTGAACTTTTCTTGCGAAAAAAGGGGGGCACACAATGAGGCGTTTGGTTTTGGGAACAGGGATGACACCGTGATATAATAAAAAGTTTCTTTCATAAGGGAATCCACATGCGTAAGTAGTAGGAAAAGTATTTTATTTTATTTTATTTGATATATGAAATGCTCACCAGCATGAATTCAACCAGCAATCAGATTTCAACTGTTCGTAAGATCCTGAAGTTTTAATCCCCGTCAATTGTAACAGCTTGTCTCACCTAACTATAATTGACACTATTCTGATTGCGCTGGAGATTGAACAACGAGATAGCCTGCTCATCCCAACCAGATGAATATGAATGAGTTTGTTCGAAGGGAACTGAAAGTCGTGACACGAATGCCATATCTCCAGTGAAGGGAGCACTCACTTGAGGATCACTTTAAACTATCTGAGTTTTGTGAAATCACGTCATGAGGCCCATCGCTATGTGGAAGCGTTTCCCATGTCTGACATCTGCGACACATGTCCCCGATCTCCGGACTCGAAACTCCGGATCCGTGGAACTTGGACGTGTGACAGTTGGCTGGGCGTAAAGGGCGGGTTCAAAGAGTTTCGCTGAGTGCGTGAAAAATTTCAGTTTTTGTCACTTGCGTCAGGAACTGGGGGGCTACTGAACTTCACAGAAGATCAAAAGCAGTGCCCATTAATTAAGTGTGCAATTGCCAAAGGAGGGCAGGCAACTGTGGACGAGGGGGTGGAGTGAAAACTGCTAAGATTTCCCTCGTTTCTTGTTCGGAAACTCACGTATTTTTGGCTCAGCCATTTTCATTTCGGCCAACCGAGTCCGGACAGTCGCATTTTATCTTTTTTTCTCGGGTTGAATGACTAATTTTAGCGGAAATTTACTTTGAAGTCCACCGAAATAAATTTGGCCGCGGCCAATGAACATCGAATTGGGGAATCAAATGTGCGAATGCGAAACTGTGACAAATCGTTTGGAAAATGCCTTTTTGATTTCCCAGGCGTTGCCTTCTACCCCATTTTGACATTTCTCCGATTCTTCTGATTCGCTTTTTATTTTGCATTTATTTTTAAAACTGTTAATGTTTTCATTTGTGCCTGCTACTCTGCGTATAGTGTGTCGTTGAGTGCTATTTTTATGGTGTATCTTAATTTCAGTTTTAGTTGCAAAGTTGCGCAGCCTTTCGATGCTTCTTTTCTCCTCTGGCCAATGATCTAAGTTGCCTGTCAACGCACCACACGCAAAAAAATAGTGGATCGTTTTGAAAATAATTAAAAGGAAGAAATGCAAATAACAAACTTCTGAATTTTCCCAGTAGTTAGCATGTCAAATGAGTTTTTTTAAAGGTTCACAGATGAATGGATAATATTGTACTCTTTCTATTCTACTTTAATAATATTTCTCGCCGCTGTGCATCTTTCCTGTTTGGATCATGGGAATGGGCTGACTTCTAAAAATAAAGATATCCCCCGAATGGCAGTCTCCGGATTCGCTGTCGCATGTCAAGTGTCACAGCTGATTTGTCGCCAAGTTGTCGGCATTTGCGGGAGGATAACTCCCATCAAAAGAAGTGGACGCAGCCGACCACCCGTTTGATCAACGTGAGTGCAACAAAAATGATTGTTTAATAGATATTTTACGATGGCAGCGCATTCAAAGGAAGCATCAACGATGGCTATTTGTATGCAAAACACTTCAAATGCCGCACCAGCCACATCATTTCGGATGCACAACATCGCGCGCAGTCGAGCCAAAGAATTTCCTTTTGCAAAAAAGAGCCACAGTACAATCAGTTAGGCTCAAGGCGGCGACATATATGTGTGCAGGCCATAAAATTTCATTGGAAATCTAACACATTTATCATACACTGACACCCCCAACCAACCATAATTCACTCGAGTCGAGCAGCGAGTTAATAAAGCCGGCAGCCAAGAGAAGCATATCTTGGAATCCTACTGGTGTACATATGCTGGCGCCATCAGACAACCCAGCTTTGCAACAATTTAAACTAATTTTTAACACTGTTTCAATTTAGATTCGAGCACAGGCACGCACTCACTCGGATACGAGTATCTGTATCTGAAAGCATTGGCATCGTCATCGTCATCAGCATCAGCACTTTCAATTAAAACATTTCGTTCGCGCTCAAAGCAAATTATTGCTTTTGATTAAGTGAGTGGCTGCGAGTGTGGTTCCATTTACATGCAAATCAAAGTGGGAGGGGCTGCAAAATGTTTGTATATTTTCGCCGGCTCCTCCATTTTCAGCCGAACTGACCAGCCCTAAAAATGCGGGTCGGCGAAAGGGGAGTGTATGAAAGTGACAACGTTCAAATAAATTAAGGAACCGGTTTGGTTTGATAGCAATGAACTCGCAAAACCTGGAACTCCAAATAGGTATGGTTCAGATATGCTGCATATCATGCCGCCGAAGAGGGAGTTACTCAATAAAATATTGATAATTTGTATGAATCTGACTGACGATTCTCTGATGTCTGACTTTTGATTGTAAAAGGATAAATTATTTTAACGGATTGTCGTGCCATGCCACTAAGTAGCACTGTTTTGCTTTAACACTTTCTTTTTTTTTTTATAAAATTTTCAATATATTTCTAAGTCATTTGTCCGTCATGACACATTTGTGTGTCAAACCAAACTGATAAGCGGCTGCTTTTGATGTGCCAGCAAAAGGTCATAGGGCTGAGGTTTCTTATCAACTTACCATGCGACTCTCCGGACGATCCTACAGATTCCACAGCCGTGACCTCGGAGCTATCGATTACCTCACTAGTATCTGCATCCAGCCAGTCGTAGTCATCCGAATCCAGGCTCACAGAATGGCTGCGACTGTTCTTCTTCAGTCCGCCAGATGGCGCATGGCGATGGTGGTCCGCTGAGGCATTGCTCTTATTATTTCGACGACGCACCTGTCGCTCCCCCGAATGGTGGTGATCATTCTTGGTGCTCTGATTCTCCTCCAACTGGCGGACAGCACTGACCACGCCGAAGGGCAGCAGCAGCAGGAGAATTTCCCAGCCACTCAGGCGCATTTTTATCGTTGTTTTGTCTGCGGCTTGAAATTTATATGCACTTGTTTGTTTGTATTTTATACTGATTATAATGCCGAGTGCATTTTGTGCACACTGATTACTGGTGGCGGCCAAAGGAAATGAGTGTGTCACAAGTCAAAAGTCTCGCAGGGTTCAGCTGTAGTAATATACTTATACACATGGCCAATTGGCATCCGTTCGATAAGCGAGCGCTTACGCACAACTTCTCACTATATACAAACACACTTTTCCTGCACAGAAAGAAATGTTTTGGGGTTTAAGGGGCTTCATTTTATTATCAATCTCATCATTTCAACTGATAATAATACTTTGGAATGATTTGAGTTGGCAGTTTTAAGCGTTGAATGCAAAATATATATATTTGTTTTGTCAAATTATTTAAATTAAATATAGCACCAACATTTAAGCTTGCATTTTCGAGTGTATGTTTATGGGCAGTGGGGCTGCGATGCTCGTTACTAGATAGTGATTGAAAAACGCAGACAAAAAACGAAAAACGATTAAATTTAATGGTCTCCCGCACAAGGGACTCTATTGATAGGGGAGTTGGGCTATCTGTTGGAATATACATGAATAAATGCAAGACTGTTTACTCGCTGGCGAATGTGAAGGCATTTGGAAGACGCCTCCGCCTCCGCTTCCGCCTCTGCCATCACCATCACCATCGCCACTTGTCCACACGATGTCACACAGTAATTAAGCCAATTGACCTCGCTTGGCCGCGAGTTTGGCAAAACGTTCCCAACTCTTCGCTGCCTGCTCCTCCGTAATCCACAAAGGCAAAGTAGCGAGCGCATTGCCGAACGGCGACGGCGACAACATTTTATTAAAAGTGAAAAATATAAATAAATAATATCAAAAAGCGCCAGCGGTAGCGGCCTACAAAGTGACACAAACGGCGCTGGCGGGGCGGGGGGCACTAATGATGAGACTCGTTTCGGGTGGGGTTTTTGAAAGCCCTCTTTTCCGCCCCCTCTGCCTTTCGCCTAGTGTCCTTGCACTTTGCACTCGAAAAAATACTGACTTATTTACGTTCCCACTCATATTTAGTGATGAAAAAAATTACAAAGACCAAGCTAATATAATTCAACTGGTACAAATGCTCGAAATATAAAAATCTATTTGGAAATAGTCTGTTTCATTAGGCTAAGAAGTAGAACAAGAAAATATTTAGCTTAAGGACTATGCACAATAAAAATAATATATTTATATAATTTAAAGATATATATTTTATTGGCCTCATTTTGCTTTAGATTTGTTGCGCATAGACTTCCATTAAAATGGATCCTATCAATTGAATGGCTGGCTAATTGCTTATAGCCTTTAATCAATCTGCTTAAACAATTTCTGACTTTTTAACTATTAAATGTGTTCAACATACAATCAGAAACCATTCAGATATTTTTTGCACTGCCTGTCTGTGGCAGTGTCAAAGCGCATACCAAAGCAGGCGGCAGAGAAAGGGGGCGTGTAGTACGAAGGGCGGGCGGCGAAAGGGGGTCGGAGAAGGGGGAGGCGGGTGCTGAAGGGTGGCAGGGAGGTAGCCGGGCTATCAGCGTTGAGTTGAGCGGCGACTGTGCTTTGATGTCTTTCTAATTGCATATTTTACAGCGCCAGAGAGTCGTCCTCGCACACCCGCGCCTCCACAGCCAGCGCCGCTATCCTGCAAAAGGATAGCACTTTCAGCGAGAGTGGAAAGTGGAGCTATTTGCTGTGATGATGTGGATGCCGGCAGGGTGCCCCTATGTCCCTTCGCCCAAAGCCCTCAGCCCCCAGCCTCCAGCCCCCAGCCCGCAGCCCCCGGGCCACCTCCTCAAAGACGCCGTGATCCAAAGTGGACCAGGACCTGGTTGGTTTGTCAACTTCAGCGTCAGCGTCAGCGTCAGACGAATCCGAGTAGGAACACAAAGGCTGAGACAAAAGCGGCATGTTCAAAAACTAGACAAATATTAACTCATATGCAGCTTGAGGTTGAGCGGAGAAGTAGAAGCCTTTGTCTTTGGCCCTACAGTCGTACTTCTGTAAGACAAACTTATAAATATTTCAGCGAACTGAAAATAACAATTACTTATAGTGTGAAATAGTAAAAACATAAAGATCATCTCCTTTTAACCCGGTTTGGATGAGAAAAATATCCAATTGGTAATAAAAAACCTAACACCTAAGCCCAAAAATTTATAAAGAAAATGTAAACAATAAGTAACTAAATAATTTAAGTAGTATATGATTATGATTTCTGCATTTAAAGCGTTTTTAGAAATATTTTGTTCAATGTACAAAGCTTACAGCCAGCTAATTATAGGCAGCACCCACTGTACATGTGTGATTGTGGCTTCAACTCCGTTTTGATTGCAATGGGAGAACAATATGCATCAAACAGAAAATAGCGCCACTTTGCAAAAAGGGATGCAAAGGAGCCGCAAAAGGACCTGCACGTACATGCATCCCAAAAGCTCACACACGCAAACACACACACATCCATAAACACATTGCACCCGAATGCAGCCCACAAACACTTGTCGTTTGATTTGTTTACCGGGTTCACTGCGCTTTCCCGCCGAAACTCACGCTTTGGCTTGGATTATGCTTAAGTATTAACTTTATTAATTTAGGCAGCCTGTCATTTGATTTGCACTGAACAAACACTTTTACTTTTTATTACTCATATCATTTATTTTGATTCGCGATCGACACACTTGACGCGCGACATCTTTTACGTCCGCACGATCCGACGGTTGGAAACGGAGTGATATCGACGGTTGGTGTTTCAAGTGCAAGTGTTTCGATAACCGATAACCGCCGAACTGAGAGAAAATAAAAGAGAAAAACAGGACTGCTTCGAATTTTCTCTTTTCATATTTTGTGCTTTAAAACGTAAAAAAAGATAAAATTTCAGGCAGTCTTCTTTTTCTTTCATTTTTTTAGATCAATTTTAGACGGTTGGAAACTTGGTAGCTTTAGTTGAGTTAAGAACCGCTGGATTTTATTTTCGCGTTGCCAACTGACTTGAACTGCTTGAACTGCTTTTAAGCGCCATGTTCAAATGTTGTTTCACTACTTAACAGTTTAGTACAAATGGTCATCAAAATGCTAAAAAATAAAATTAAGTTACAACGAATATGTATATACATTGTAGCCATTGAAACCCCTTGAGTAAACTCTGCCCTTTGTTTGTTTTAGTTATTTATTTACCGAATAATTTAAATTCACATACATTTAAGTTTACATATACATTTCATTCATATGAATATAAGTTGTCTTGTAGTTTGTATGTGTATATATTTATATTTTAGGTGGTGTTAACCCTCATTTATGGTTTAGTTTTCAACAATGTCCCCTTTAGGCTACAATAAATAAACTATTTGTAGGAAATATATTTGTATGTATATGCTGAATTTGTACATTTCGCTTCGCTTTTATGTGTTGCATTCTTGGTTTTTTTTTTCATTCCAAGTGCATTATTCACGTTCTCGTATATGTTTTAAAGTATCTTCTGCTTAAATCGGAGGTTTTTCAGCATATATCCTGTTGTTCTGTTGTTTCGGTTTTTTTACTCATGTCAGCAATGTTGTTCTTGTGTGTTGTCAGTTACCGGACAAATTGAAACAATTGTGTAGAAGAATTTGTTTAGAAAAACTTGTACAAGTATAGTGTACATATATTTCATTATATTTATATGCTTGGCTCCTTAGAGTATGTACTTTTTGTCTAGTTAACACGTGCAGTGCTATGTATTCCTCAAGTCTTTGTTTAAGTTTAAATTACACACATTCAGTTGTTGGTATTCTGCAATATTTACTGGGATTAAGTAGCATATTTTACACACATTATAAGGTCTGACTTCCCATAGTTCATACGACAACACCGAAAATACACGCATAGCTTTATGTGAAAAAGAAATCGGCCAACCCTAATGCATTCCCCTTTCAAACTTTCCTATGCTTCATATGCCTCGGAATCCTCGTTGTAAGTACATATAAAATAGGTTCAAGTGCTCGGGAAATTCTCTTTGGTGTTCCTTGCGATAGACGTACTCGGCTGGAAGGAATAAATGTATTTAACTTAACAATTAGCATAAGTTCTCTTCACTTCTCGCGCTCGTCGCTTTTTTATTCTGCGGGCTAAGCTGTCAAACAGTCGACGAGAAAACGACAAACGCATTCAGGATCGAATGGCAAAAGGACAACAGGACAACAGGACAACAGGACGACGATGGCAATTTGTCAACTGTCGCCGGCACAAAAGGGCGAGTCCTGCCTCGAGTTTTGGCTTCCTGCATGATTGACGACCATTCACCTATATACGAATTATTATTATTATTATTATTATTATTCCCGTTCCCGTTCCCGTTCCCGGTGCGGTGTATTCATAATTATTTAAGAAATGCACACTTGAATGCCTTCCTTGAGCGGAGAAGGACGAAAAAGGAGGCGGCAGGCTCCTCAAGTGTCTGCTGAAGTCGATGGAAATGTCAACAAGTCTGGCTGACGGTTTTGGATGTGCGATTACCGATTTCCTATTGTATCCTTGCCGGGTTTCTGCTGCCCTTTGTGTGTGTGTGCTGTTTTCCCAAGAGGTTGCACCAAATGCACAACAAGAACAAACATCAAACCGTTCAACCAATTACCCACAAATACTCATAATACTCATAATTCGTGGGTACTTTTTCGAAGAATCTGTCGTTGCTTAGGAACTTTTGATTGAGCTTCTTGGAGGGCTAGTTAGCTGCATTAGTATGTATTGTACATTCATATATATATAGATGAGATTTTGATTTCGTAGAACATTATAAGCTGGGGGCGGCGAGCCGCCCAAAAATGCAATTGGAAAATTCACACAGACACGGTTACGTTAGTAGTACACCTATATAGACGCAATGAGAGGAGCAATTGCATGTGTTTTGGGCAAATCATAATTCATAAATCATAATTCACAATCCACAATCCATAATTCACTCTGCACGGCCCTAGCGGATATAGTGCCACATGGCCGTGGGCTTGCGGGCATTGTTAATCATGTCGTGCCAGTGCTGGCATCCAGTTCCACTTTCCTGGGGCCCCAGTCCGCAGCATCCGATTTCCGTGGCCTCGCTCCCGGCGCCCACCACATAGATCTGCCGAGGTACAAAATATGCCGGAAAATGTATATGTATATATACGGGGGATTCAATTAAAACTCGGCCGGCAATAAACCGTGGCTATTGCCCGGAATTAGCAGCCGGAGCTGTTAAAGCGGCGCAGACCTTCGGTTTATGGCCTGGTCCACGTGGACAGCGAAGGCAAAGGCAAAGGCTAAAGGTTACCTCGATGGCTGCATTGTGGAGATAATTTGATTGCAAATTAAAGGTGAACGCCTCGTTCCAGATGGGATTGGTGGGATCGTCCGACTTCGTAATGCTGGTCTTCTTTTTCTTGATGCGCTTGCCGTTTTGAATCAGGTAAATCTGCAAGAAGCGAATCGAGAGTTTTAGGGACATTTATTGTATCCTATGGCGTTGAAGGAGCACGTAATATGCACCTTGACATATGGTTCCTGCAGAGTATCCAAGTTCCTAGCCTTCATGATGACCACAGTCAATCGCTCGGCCTGCGGCAAGTAGTTCAAGGAGCACAGCAGTTCCGGTCGATCCTCCTTGGGTTTCTTGGTGCGCAGCAGGTCGCCCCAGATCTGCAAGTACTCTGTATTGCAATGTGTGCTGCCAAGCAAATCACAGCCGTCACTAACCTCCACTGACTTGGACAGATCCAGCCCATCCACAGAGATGCGCACCTCGCCGATGATGTCGTTGTGCGAATAGCGATCGTAGTCGAGCACCTGGAGGATCAGCTCCTTGCCCTGGAGCTGATCCCGGGAAACCGGGAACTTGAAGTGCTGGTCGAAGTAGGGATTGGACTCGCCCCGGTGAATGTGGGTCTGCCGCTTCCGGCTGTCCACTTCCGGTTGCAGCATCAGGCGCACATAGGGATCCCGGAATCCGCCCTCTTCGATGGGACTCAGGTTGTGAGCTAAAGAGAACAAGAATTTAATTTAGTTGAATATATATTTGAATATATTTCCGATGTGTTAAGCTCTAAGTTTATCCTGGCAAACACAGCCTAGTCAGTCATCCACCCGTTTGTTATAGTATTACAATATCTTTTCGTAGCAATAAGTACATATCACAGAATGCGCCGCATTGACATCAAGTTACGTTGTGTGGAGAGAAGAGCTGTGGAATTTAACATGTCCACCGCCATGCCGATGCGTAAAGTTATGAGGGCCTACGCCGATTACTACAAACTTGATCTGAGGAATATATATTTCAAGACGCGTACCCTTCCCATCATGGAATACGATACGGCGGAATTCCTGAATCTCCACAGTGGCGATGTCATAGAGGTCAGATCCAACTACTATCAGTACCTATCGGGTGCACAATGACACTCGGTATTCAGTTTTCAGTTTAATATTATTATATTATATTAATATTATTATATCAGTTGTGCATTACGGGGTTGTTTAAAAATTGTTCTAATAAATCTTGTTAAGAAAAACGTTTGCAGTTTAATATATTTTTAGAGACTACTATAGTCACGACGTGGAGTTTACCTTCAATCAGATGAACCGTCAGGTCGAACAGGTGATAGTCGTACTTGACCCGCAGATGCAGACGACCCACGGCGTGACTGGACTCCGGAGCAGTCAGGTAAACGGGTCCGTCCGGCATTCGATAGAGATCCGGCTGGAGGGCGCCCAGTGGCGAGGCGGGACCCATTGCGGGATCCACGCCGGGCTGGGATCTAGGCGGTATCAGCAGCGGCGAAAGGCAGCGACCGCCGGCCACGCCCTTTCCGGAACTGCTGCCTCCCATGGCCGATCCTCCGGCCAAGGAGGCCAAGCTGCTCTGCGAGGGACTGGGCGTCCTCAGATCCCCGGGATCCGCCGCGTGGGCGGGACTGCCGCAGCGCGCATCCAAAGAAATAGTTCGCATGGGACTGGGTGACCTGGCCAAATGGTGCGGAAATCCGGGCTCACTTGGCAGCGAGCTGCGTCCGTCCGGTCCGAAAGTCCTTATCTGTGGCGACGAGCCTCGATGACCCTGCGACGGGAAGCATATTGGATGCCAATGGAATTGCTATTGGTTGGGCGTGGCACTTACCGAATTCCTGGAGGGGGCGCTGTCCACGCTGCTCTGGCTGGAGATGGACGGCGTGCGCTGGAGGCGCGGCGGAAAGGAGCGGCTCTGGTGGTGCAAGTGGAGCGGACTGTGGAAAACTTCGGCGGGTCCGCGCAAGATGTCCGTGCCGGTGGCCGAAACCGTGCCCATGTGGTGATGGTTGAGCCCCATGCCGCCGTGCATTCCATGCAGCTGGCTGGCCGGCTGGATGGGCTGGCACTCCTTGGCAATGGCCACCTCCTGGGGGAAGCGAACAAATGTGAAATGTCAGCAGTGTCCATCAGGTGCCCACCCCAGTCATAAGAACCTCCGAGTCCGTGGGCAAATCACAGCTATCGCTGACACTACCGGCTGAAACGCTGCCAATTCCGCTGGTGGTCGATGTGACCGAGGAGGCCGACGGCGGCGGGGTCATGGGTTGCGGCGGTGGCGTGGTGGAGCCCTCCCCCATCGGCAGGATGTGCACCGCCGAGGCGCCGTTGCCCCCCGCAGCGGCGGAGGCGCCACTACCACTCCCACTGCCACTCGCCGTACCCTCATCCGCCGAGTTCCGATCGAGAGTAACGCGACGCACCGCTCCCACCCGCTCCTTGGCCATGCGCGACCAGGACTCGATGCGCTTGTGGGCCAGCCAACAGGCTGCCGGACCCAGGCCACTCATCTCTTCCCAATTATCGAGGACTTTGCTTGTGGGAACGCTGCCTTTCTTCCCTGCGGTAAATGGAGGATTTTGTTGCTTGGCTACCTTGGACTTTGGACTTTGGGCGGGAAAAGAAACTGCTGCTTCACTTATTTGCTCTCCCACTTTACACGCAGAGAAATAAGCCGAAGGTACCAGATGAATTCAGTTTTATAGCATGGGATAACTTAGAAAGGGATGTATTATAAAAAGTAAAATTGAAATGTGAAATGAAGTAAAATTAATGAAAAGTAATAGTATGCAGTATTTTCGACTTTTGCAATGCAACATTTTCGCGACATTTCCCCGAACCTATGACCACTTTTTGCACAGTGCACCCACACATTTGACCGCTGCTAATCCGCTTACGCAAATACACTCACACGCCATTAGAGTGGACCAACCAACGTTGAGGAAATGGAACAGGATGCAGTGCCCGGCACGAGTGCGGTTTCGGGCTGGAAGCCCTGGACCGGCATTAATTACTCCCATGTAGGTCAGGGTGCACCATATTTGCATGTCCTCGTAGGAAAACCTCACTTCACTTCTCAGCACAAGAAAATGCAGTTGGCTCTACGGAAGAAGCAGGAATTTTAATTTTAAACGAATTGCATAACTTAGTAGCATAATTGAACCGCTTTTAATTGGCAGTTTGCGGCCAAAGTTTGGTTATTTCACTATGCAATTTTAGCCACTTTCCAGCTGCCAAAAGGGCGCATCCCGACCCCTGAACTTACTATTTTCGAGAGCCAGCAGCATATAATTTCCGTAAGCGATAGCTTCCATGGGCAGCTCAGTGGCAGGTGGCAACTGGGATTACTCGGGGAAGCCATGGCAACTGCACTAACGAACAATGTGCGTCAATCAGGCAGCCAACTAGTTTGGCCGGCATCCCCATGTGTCCAAAGCGGATGAAGCCTAATTAGCCCAACAGCGAGCATAAAAGAGTGAGGGTGGAGATCGCCTCCATTGGATGGCTTAAGTGATCAACCCACCTGGAGGAAGCGGGAAAGGCCAAAACTCGATGCTGCTGATGCCAATGAAAGTTCCCCTTCAACTGCTTCCTGCTGGGCGGGCAAACTTCTGGCTAATATAAGACAGCCTATCTGGAGACGCTAAGTAGGAGCATCTGAATTTGCAGACGGGGCATTCCTCCTGGCACGCCACGCAATTCCCCGGCGGGCGATTTGTCCTGCATCGCCTTTGCATTCCACACCCAGAATTTTCACGTTTTTCGTTACGCCGCGTGGCGAATGGCGAAATGCGAATTCATTGGCATTCGTACACGCCCCAGTGGCGTTAAATGGACGGAGAATCGGGCATGCACTCGCATACGGGCATACTCGGGCGACGAGGGGTTGCTCAATACAAAAGTAAACAAGAAACTTATTTTTCAAGTATTAAATAAATTATAGGAAATTAAGCACGTGTAGCGAATGACATCAAAACATGGCAGCGAGCCTGGAGGGAAAGAGGCAGACAAGGAATGTGGGAAAGAGGGAGAGGCACGACACAGTGCGACAGAGATGGAGGCGAAATCAAGGACCAACCCTCAAATTAGTTTGGGATAATAAAAATGCGCTCGACCAAAGTCCTGGTGCGACAAAGCACCCCGAGTTCCCAGTGTGCGGTGTGTCCTAGATCCTGTAAAGGATTTTTATTGATTTCGCAACATTACTCTCAGTTATTCATCACTTTCATGGCTCCGACTGTCGCCACTTCGGCTGCTGAGTTCCGAGGGAAGACAGCTGTCGAGAAGCAGTTGTACCCATAATTTGTTGAAATGAAATTGATAGATAAACATTGTTAAGCAAGGATAAATCTGGCGAACTGGCGGTAAGAGGTTCAAGTTGAAAGCTGCTTCTTAACAATAACTTGGGAGCCATAGCCCAAAGTAAAAGTGCTAACCCACAAAGAACGTTGATATTGGGGAAATCCTTTTCGGGCTGTTACAATTACACAAAATTGTCCTTAAGCGTAACCTATTATGGCGCTAAGTGGGTTAAATGGATATTGCAGCAACAGGGGACTCGCAAGTGTAATATAAACAACTATTGGCCCATCGAGATTGACGACAACATAAGCTAGTAATTTGGGTGTCCATGTCGGGCTTAAATGCGCTCGCTAATCCTCCTTTGATCCCCTCGAGTGTCAACCAAGTGTGTTGCACATTCCGGGGGAGAACTGCGAAAACATCAACGATAATTCCATTGAGAGGCAGCCAACCGCACCGTTGCTAATTGACACCTATGTAAACTGCAATCAAGGCGACAGCCCACAGTTTTCCGCATTTCCCACCCCACATAAGCCGAAAATGATCGAAAAATCCTGCTAAAAATACCCCAAAAACTAAAACCTCTGACTCAAAGGCAGCCGCACCCAGACTACTTACAAAAAAATGAGCTGCATGTGGCAACTGCAACGTATCGACGGTCCGGGTTGCAACCCTCAGGACAATCGAGTAGATAAATATGAAATTGAAATTTTCCAGCTTGTTTGATATTGGCGAAGGCTTGATTAATGGCATTTCCACGTTTAGAGCTCGCTGCAGAGCATTTCCGCTTCGTTGTGCCAAGCTGGCTCGAACTTTCCACTTTTCCTATCGCATTTTCGCCATTTTACTCGGCTTTGATCTGCTTCCATGAAGCTCTTGTTGCGTTTTTCTGCTCTCGACTGTCAGTTATGAGCTGGCGCACTAAGTGCAACACATTGGCCTCGAACGCTGGGGAAATGTGTGTCCGAGCATGTGAACACGGATCTGTAAGTATATCCGAACACGATAATCCTCTCAGGCAGCTCAGAAAATACTGACAGACGCCAAGGATGTTGCTTTAAACTAAATACTGCACATAACGTCCGTAAGACTCCTCGATTCCCAAGAAATGCATAAGGATAAAAGCTCGGCGGCAGGAACAATAAGCCAATTGAGTGTGGGTGGCTTAAAATGTATATTGATTTTGGGAGCAAGCTTAAATAAGTAGCGGGATTCAGTGTTGGTAGAAATGAAAAAATGCATGAAAAGTTTGGTTGACTTTCCAGCACTATTTCATTGCCTTAATACATAATCGTGGCATCTTCTCCGTAAACATATTCAATTGCTGTATCAGGGAAAATTCATCTGAAGCTGGCTGAACTTTTTCGATTAAAGTGTTTGCGTTTTGGTGGGCGAGTGCATCGCCATCCGGCTGCATTCTAATTAGTTCCTCAAAGTCATTACAAACTCGTTGCCCCTTGGCAGCCAGGAGAGTTTTAGTTTCATAGTGTTCTGTGCCCCGGCATGTGAAAACTTTGATGAAAACTTTCGATTAGCAGGCGCCGCTAGTATGGCTCATTCTTTTATGTTCAAGCCCTCACTTCCTCACATTCGACATCCTTTTCGTTCGTAGCAGTTCAAAATTTACCATTTGCACAGTTAATCACATACGAAATGAGTGGAATGCTGTTGAAAGTGCTGCCCAGGAACAAGTTGCTCCATCAATCACTGTGCTTTTCGAGGGGGCTGGCCAAAAAGGTGGACCAGAGCCAAGGCACCGAGAAGGGCAAGAAAACCTGTAACAAGAATCAGTTCTTTGGCGGCTGCTTTAAGAGTGAGATTGCCCGTCTATTAAAGTGGTTCCATCTGCTAAATTGAATGCTCCTCCTAGAGTCCGAACCGTTTAGGAGGGAAATGAAGAAGGAGAAGGGCAAACGCTGCCGCGATCCTTGCCGAGATGGACCTTGTCGGCCCGAGAAGTAAAAGCTGCAACTACAACTGCCGTCAGTCAGCTTCCATTTCCTTAGGCAATGGCTGCGTTGAAAAGAATTAGCCAACACTGATTTCTCCAGAAAAATTCCGCTGCTTCTCTCACACGAAAAGTACCGAAAATACTAAAATTGCATAGAAAGAGCACTTGAAACCTTTCAAATATTCTGTGTGAAACTATGCTTAAGTTGGAACCAACCACTAAACTTTTAACCGCACTCCGCGAAAACCCATTACACTTTGCTGTTCTACATCTGCAGTTGAATCCGCTTGCGGGTGTGAATGTATCTGCCACAATCGCAAAACAAAAGATACGTGGGGTTGTCCGGTGACAAAACACTCAGCATCTGTTGACACCTGTATGGGTGGATGGGTGGGTGGGTGGAGGCGTCTCCCCTTTGCCCCCTTTGGGCTGTCAGCGGCAGTCGGCGCCTGTGGACTGCGCTGCATACATTTTAATCCTATTAGCACAATAGTTACTGTTATTCCATATTGCAGTAATTTTTCTAGATTGCTCTCCCTGCCACAGACATGTCAGCTGCAACACGAATGTGCCACTCCCACTCCAGCCGACGTCCTTGAGCTTGACCATTGGCCCCCCAACCCGCCCCTCTTAAACCAAGGTTAAGCCAAACCCAGGAGAAATACACAGGAAAATGGAAAATGTGGGTGGAGAGTGCTGGGTGGCTGGGTGCTGGGTAAGTGGAAATTGTCAGCGGCGTTGTTGTTTCAGTTTCTGTTTAAGCCGGCACTGCTCGTGCTCCAGCTGCTGGTTTTTATTGTATGCACAAATATCCTGCGGCGCTGGCTGCCTTGGATGGCTGGACAGGACACTTAGGTGTGGTGCTGCAGTCTTCGAATCGCTGAGCGCTGAAAGCTATTTTGCGTGGCCAGTCCAGGTGCAAGAGGCTTCGGCTGCTTCAGCTGCGCAAAACGAGACAAAAGTGGCAATGGTGACGCTTGGTTACCGAAAGGCGGTGACGACGGTGGGGTGGCAAATCCTTTGGGCTCCTGGTTTCAATGGAAAAGGCTTGCGCATTCCTGAGTAGAGATTTGCTGGGCTCATTTGAATTCCAAAGTGAGTGAGCAGCCGGCTGGCAAAGTGCAATCATAAAGGCAAAATAAAGCAAGGGGATACCAATTTTATAATCAGCACAGAAAGATGTTTTAAGCTTAGTGCTTTGCACTCAAAGAGTTCTGTAACAAAAGACGTGGTTTTAAATACAGCACTTAACAGAATATTATATACATAAATGTACGCTCTCCCGATGAATGCAAAATCAACCTGGAAATGCTTCGAAATTTAAGCCGCAAAGTAATCGATACATTTCGCATTAGCATTAAGATATGTTAGATGTCCATGGAGCTATGAAATTCCAGGAACTAGTGGAGCACCACTCATCCCAGCGAACTAAATAAGTTTCTGCATGTGGAGCTCCCAACCGAGCCATCACTTCATTTAAATGCTAATTTATTTAGTTTAAAACTTGCCAACTGCGCCAGGTCTTTAGGGCGAACTTTGCTAACTGACATGTGTCCGTTAGTGGAAACTACTGGCAAACTCATTAGGTGCTCAGACCTTGGGCCAACGGCAGGCTAATCTCTTGGCCAAAAAAAGGGCAATTAACAATCAAATTAGGTATGCACGTCGACTTTATTGTAGTTCGGACAAAAGCCAAACAATTGGCCGGGATAACTTTTGACACACGTCGTCTAAGCCGTAATCTGAGCCGGGCCCAAAAGGCGGAGGTGGAAACTGGGCATGCCGGGTCCGGAATCAGGAAGGAGGAAGGACGATTCCGGAGCAGACAAGCGGCGGCAGACAAATGAACGACAAGCACACAATACACTCACAATAAGATTTCCGCTGCATAAGTCTTTTGTAATCTCATTTAAATAATTGCGGCCAACAGCAGTGGAAAAATGGAAAGCGAGATGGCACAGCTAGCAAATCCGCAAATCTCTGCTGCCAGCCGGACGGACAGCCATTTGAACGTAGCCGGAAATTAAAATGTAAAACAGCAGCTCATTATACGCTCACCTACACACACACAACAGAGGAGGGAGAGCGAGTAGGATATATGCAATGCAAAAGAGATGACGACAGTGGCACACACACGCAGCCAAACGGTAATTCATCTTGCACTTTTTGTGGCTGGAAAGGAAATTGGGCTGCTCGGTTTTCTTCTTACGTGCGTGGCACTTTATGATCCTGCCACACAATTGCCCGACATTTATGGGGGTTATTTTGTGAAACGAACTAGCATGCCCACTTTGTTCCCCGTCCTTGGATGCACTTTACTGCCACGCCCCCATGCCCACTCCCACTCCCACTCGCATTGGCATAAAACTAGAGTTTATTGCAAAAGCGAAATAACGTGCGGCACGATATTAATACTGGCTTTTATTTGGATCCATTGCAGTGAGGCAGTTCCTAAAAACTGTGAAGGGACAATTTGGCACAACTGTGATGCTAAATGTATTAATCTAATTATTAAAAAACGAACAAGTGCATACGTGGGGATATTATTTTTGGTTTTCCCTGTTTGTGCCTACTATAAAAATTAGTCCAAACATTTTATGGAGTATACTTGTGCATGGCACGAAGTGAAATATTAGCCAAAGAACTTCTCGAATTTAGGCCAAAAGGGAGAAACTTTTCCGCATTAAAAAGCTAAAGTTATGCATGGCCAGCCGAAACATAAAGCGATACGGAAACCCATAAAAGCTGAGCGCGGAATAAAATAGTTTAGCAGTTGCCGGGGGCTGCAACAAGTGCTGCCCGCATTAGAGAACAATCGTCAAGGATTTTCAACAGTTTGGCGCACATATTGTTATGTGGCAGGGCGGTGGGAAATGGCGCAGTTATTGTGCGGCAAGGAAAACCCAGATCGAACACACTTGTGTCCTGGTTAGGGGAAACTGCCGATGATAATCCGCTCATCAAACGTCAATACGGCTCTCATCGCTCCACGAGGAAGGGAATACCCAATGCCCGCCTGTCTGTCAACTTGTTTACAAAGGAGAGAAGTCCTGCCGCAGTCCTTGTGGGGATACCCAGGATACTCGGCGACGGGATCCGCAGCCCGCCGGAGGCAAGAAATTAATCACCAATACAATGGAAATTGTGCGGCTGCAGTGCATCGATTGCATTGCGCTGTGGCAGCTTTCCCGCTACTTCCATCCTTTCCACAATCACTGTGCTACGAATCTGTGGCAAATAGCCCTGCGGCCACACGCAGTGGCTTACAAATGGTTTTGCCGGAATGTGTTTAATGCTATTTGCCCCATTCTCAGCCGAGGCTTTTATTTTTGTGATGGTATTACTTGTTTCACGGGGCAGCCGTGTTTCGGCGATATTTTCAATAAAAACCAATTCAGATCGCTTAGTTCGTTCAGAAATGGATTATAAATCCCTATGAGGGAGGCACCTAATGCGTTTCCTGTGCAAAGGCATGGGTGAAACCTGTCCTTTTGAACGTCTTATGAACGCTAACAAGCCACAAAATGTTTAGTTTATGTTGTAGCTCAAAGTGGAAATCGATCTAGCTTTGTCTGTCCGTTTGTCCGCTGTCTGTCCGTATAAAAGTCGAGGTATCTGTAACTTTCGAGCCGGAAAATGTATGTTATGCGGACTCCAAAGCTTTGCAGGTATCTAGGTGGCTCTGGAAAAAGCCTGGGAGGAATCCACTCAAACATGCCTGATTGTTTCTTATCCCCAGTGCTCTTGTATAAAATTAGCTTTATCGATTATAAGAGGTAGGAGTACGCGGGACTGGTACTCAATAATAATGGCTTACTTATCATACGCATCTTATATTTGAAAGATTTAATAGCCAATTAGTATAATTGGAAACAGCATGCCCCTTCTTAGCATATAAGTGCTGCCAATTTTCCCAGTTCGGTTAGTTGTCAAAATCCGTTAGCAAACATCCTGCATTGACAACGCCCATGTGCTACCTTAAGTATGCCGACAATGGCAATTTTCTCTGCGGTTTGAATGAAGAACAGAATCAGATTCAATATTGCCATAAACAAATACAATGCAAGCCGATAGCAGGGAAATGGGTAAATGTGTGTTTGGCAAATGTATTCTGCAAATCGCTGTGCGAAAGGATGGGATCAAAGCGAATCAGCCGCCCTCGACAATTCGCCCATTTAACCCTTCGCAAATCAAAGGACTATTGTTTGGGGCCTGGCAGCAGAAATTGCACTGCGATGCATTGACATGATCCGATTTGCCATCAGCTCGACGAGATGGATGCTGATGGCGATGGCGATGGCAAATGCAGCTAGTTATTTGCCATCAATCTTGTTAGGGACTAAGAAAAGATTTGCCCGACCCGCACCCTGGAGTGTGGCGCGAATCAAGGACATTCAGCGTCTCGAGTCCAACCTCCTGCTCTAAGGACCTCCGCATATTCCTATTCCCTGTGGCACAGCAACTTTTCCAGGCCCTTAAATGCTGTGACGTCAATGGCCTCGGTGTCTCGCTTCAGCTGTTTATTTGTTTACTTTGGCCAAAAGAGTTTCAATTAGGCGCAGCATTTTCTGTTTCAAAGTTTTAAATACAAACAAAGACGCACTTTTTTGGCCTGGCTAAGCCAACTTAAATGTTGTTGGACAGTTGATTTTTGACAAAGCAGTCAGCTTGCGAGAAAATATTTTACATAAAAGTGCAAAATACTCCAAGGACATTCTTAAATTCCACCAATTTTCAGAAATAAATGCATAGAGAATTTTTATCAAATTACCAACTGTTAAGAAAATACAATGTGCTATATTTTATCACGCCCAACCGCAATTTCAATATAAAAGCATTCAACAGGCCTTTGATAGTTTGAATGAATGCCATAATTGAACAACAATCGTGTCACCAATAATTATTCTTATTTAAACATATGCATTGGCTGCATAGCTACAAAACTCATTTAATTGATGGTGCCACGAACGCCAACGAAATACAGAGTTTGTCAATTAGTTCTTGATATTTGGCTGCACCTGATGGACATTTCAATTGTCAGCTTGTGATGGACAAATTAATTATTGTCTGAAATTTGATTGCCATATGCCATGGCAACAGGGCCACATCATCCCATACCTCTCCATTTATTTTCCCGTGCAAAAAAGGTCCTGGCAAATCGATGAGTTGGGTTGTGTGCGTGAGTAAGTGAACGTTATCAGGACATCATTTTTGGC